ATGACGAAATTAGTAAATTAGTATTCATTTATTATTAAGGGACATTTAAAGTGCTTTTACTTGTTAATTACGGCAAAATGCTAAAATCAGAAAAGGTCATTTATACAAAATAAAATGGCCAGTGCAAGCTCAATTTGAGGAAAGTTGTAAGCGAGGTAAATCAAACATTAATTTAAGATCTGGAGTAAAAATGTGAAAGATTCACGTATATTACGTACATTCATTTTTGCTTTACAAACTATTTTTCTCCTAAAATTTAATTAGTGCCCCACGATTCAAAACCTTAGCTTTTATGACCCTTGAACCTATCATACGATTTAAGGCTCAAATTAAAGTTATGTAAGTGTATGTATTAATTCTAGTGTGTTGAATATCAACCTATTAAGTGAAAGGAATCTGTGACTGCACAATTTAAAGTTTTCATGTTTATTGGACTTAAATATAACTTGAGTCTAGAAGTTGCTGAGTATATTACAGTTTTATGGATGCCACTGTATTAGAGGCTGGAAGAGGACGTTGAGGATAAAGAAAAAAAGGTGATGAACCTCGCTAACATCGGGTTTGAGACGAGGATACGCCAGGAGGAGATTATGAGCGAGGCGCTTGCCAAGGATTTAAAAAATATGTGGATGGATATAGATACAGGTAGGAATTTCTTCATATTTATATTTGAAACCCTATGGTTTAAGTTTTTTGTATTTTCCGTTCTACAAGGTTCTTTTTGATACGGATCCAGGTGATGAATGTTATCATCTAGTTCTTCTAATGTAGTGCACCCAACTACAATTTTCCAATTGTCTTCTTTTATCGCAGTTTTTTTTTCTGTCGAAGCTTGGTTTATTAAAAGTGACTTTGTGAGGTTAATTTGTTGATTCTTCAAATGTGGTTTTTGAAAGCAAACATTTTTTCGAAATTAAGATAATAAGTTGCAAACTTTAACCCAAATAATAAATGTACAACAAATTTTCCTCTAAATTAGTTTTTTTTATTTTTTTATTTTGATAATGTTTAAATTCTTTCTCATCTTCTGGGTTTATACACCTGCAAGTTACTGTTTAAAAAACTGCAATTGCAAATATTCAATTTGTAAACGGTTAAACATGCATAACTCATATTCTTAAAAGGTACAATGGTAAATCGTTATAATCGGAGGGTTAATATTACGCTTTCACTCCCTTTAACTACTTTATTTCTACTTTCTAGAAAAGATTGGTGAGAACTTATCTGACAAGAAATCAATTCTTACATCAAGGAATCTGGAAATTACAGAATCTTTACTTGGTGTTAGTGTGAACTCAGTTCAGGTTGGTTACAATCTCATGCCAATTAATGATAATTTAATTCTTAATAATATTGCATTGGTTTAAACTACAGATTTTTGGGTTGAGAGCAAACAGGTTTGTTACGATGTATTATTGGTTGAAATTTCGTCACTTGGATTTGCATCCTCAATATTTTTGCGGATCAGGATCCACGGAGCAAAAATGTTGCGGATCTAGATTTTAAGCACTGAGTATATACCACATTCCTTAATTACAGTGTGTTCGAAATGTGACCTCGACCTCTGTATACTAGGGATGTATATTTTCTTTAAAAATCATCCCCTCCCCTATGAAATATTTTAAAGAATTACCGGGGGGGGGGGGGGGGTTAAACTATACACCCCTGCTTATGTGTTCTTAGTCTGCACTCTGCATCCCAACTGTGCGTCCCCATGTGTACTTTCATCATCCTTAAAAATCGTTACCAAAAAAAGTTAAATTATCATAAGAAAATAATCTGTAATCTCCGATAATAATAATAATAATAATCACTGTCAATGACTGTCTTCCATGGACCCTTCTGTACACTCTCAAGATTCCTAATGATCCTGTCGGTACCATTAGTAACCATTTTTCGAGATGTCCAAGATGGTGTTTTGAGATTGAATGATGAGTGATGTGACACTGTATTGAGTAGACCTTGAATTTGACTACCTTGTTCCATTATCCAGTTTACCCATTGTGTTCTCATTTTATTAGTTGATTTCTGCATAGCATTTTTTCCTAATAAGTCTTAGTTACTTGTTATATATATATATATATATATATATATAAATATATACAGTCCATAATGTCCATAATACCCTAAAATAGGGTCCTTGGAGACATTACAACATAAACATAAACAATAGTACATTATTTAGACGAGATCTTTAATGAAAGATGAAAATGATCTAAAGAGAAGTTGGATTGTTCATTCTACACCGTCAAGTAAGATTTTTCCCTGTAAAATTCTTTCAATAGATTTTGTTGCGAAACTATTCTTCTAAATATTTTGCAAACACCTGATACGAACTAAAGTTCTGATAACATAGTGTCGTGGTCTTCGTCAAGTATTTTTGGAAAAATATAATTTCTAATTCTTTTTATTTAGTGCAATATTCTTCGTTTGAAAATTAAATAATTGTGGATAATTTTTTATATTTTCGAACCCAATTTTTGTTAGAAGAACTATTATTTTTAAATATTTAGTTCAACATCCTGAGATCAAATTAAAGACTTCATTTACTACTCTGGACTCTTACGGTGAAAAGGTAGAAAGACTGATAATTTTTTTAAATGATAAAAATCTCATGGGTTTATTTTCGTGCCAGATTTTAAATATACTATTTGAGGCAGAATTGTGTTTCTAAACTGGTCGTTATTCCGACGTTAGATTTATATTTTGTAAAAATAAATAGCCTTGATCTACAAGAAGGAATCGTGGACATTCTTCTTGAATTGAATTGATTAAATATAGAAAGATTTTTGCGTTTGTGTTGGTTGGATTAGTTAGGGAGGGGTCAGCTTTATTAAGGTAGTGATGGGGTCAGATTTGTGGTTGGAATGGATGGGATATGAATTGATTTTTTGGTTGGTTAACATAGGTGGATTTTTGACTGGTATAGATTTGATAGTTGGCTGGTGGGGGTTAAATTGAGGTTGGGCAGGGGTTTGACTTGTATGATGGTTGGATGGTCATGCTTGGTTTAAATGAATTGATGAATATTTGTTAAAAAGAATAAGGGTTGGTTTGTTTAGACAAGTATGCCAACTGTATTCGGAGTTAAGTTCCGTCTGGAGGGACTAGATAGTTCAGAACTCAGTACACCAATGGAAATCTGTCAAGAGGACAGCGATATTCAGGTGTAAGGGATTTTTCAAGAAATATAAATTCATGAGATTTAAAAAAAAATTTTAGTAATCTTTCTGTTCCGTCTGAAAATTGGCAACTCAAGCAAAAAACAACGGATCAGGGGGTCTTACCTCCCCCCCCCCCTGTCTTAAGCTGACTTAAACTAGGCGACAAAAAACTTTCCTTAACTTGAAAATAATAACAGTAATTTAACTTCAAGATTTGAAAAACCTGTTTTAGATCCCCACAAATTATTTTAGTATAGCCGTAGGCCAATTAAAAGCTTCATTTTTTTATGGGTTCCTCATTTAAAAATCCATGATGAATTTTGAAGTTTTATTATTCACAAAGCTTCTAAATACGCTGGGATATGGGATATTCTTTTTTCTTGAATACTTTTTCTGTGGTTTCTTTTAAATGTGATTTGTGCTGCACAGGCATTGAAGAAAATTTTAATATTTTCGTTGTTACTTAGGTGGGTTCTTCAGACTGGGGGGGGGGGCTTTCAGATCTCACCTCTGATACTTGGATATCCAAGGTTTAAATGATAATGTTTTCAAACGTATATTTAGCGCTAAAAATCACTTAAAGTTATGTCTACAGTCCCTTTAATTGTTGACAAATTTCAGCTGTTCACACGTATTCTTCGAGAATATATTCACAAGAAGACTTTACGCGATCAATTTATTGAAGAAGTGCTGAGGAAAGAAACCAATGTAACCTTAAAGGTAGATTTATAATTTAATTAGTTTTATAGAAAATCCATGACATTGCCTTCCATGGGGTGGCTGACTTGATAAATAATGACTCAATATTTTGTCTACAATTGCTCAAATAATTATTTATGACAGTATGATATTTTTACAAGCAAAGTTTCAATCAAAGTCAGTTATAATAGTATTCTATTATATTTGTTATTTCTACTTTTTTAAAATTAATTTTATTATCTGTCGGTGAAACCCTTTTAACTGTTTTTAAATATTGATTATTTTTCATTTAAAAAATGATGTAACTTTTGAAATCTAGACTAGTTTAAGTTATAGTTATCATGGAATAGAAAACTTTCGGTTTATCAGGATTTCCTGTATTCAAAACTGTTCAAATAACTATTGCATAACGCAGGTTTTTTCTCTAAATAGTAAATTCTAATTATAAACATCTATCGAATAATATTTTTAATGTGATCTATTACTCAGAACTTTTGTTTTAAATGACGTTGATTTAAACTTTATATAGCGACCGACCCGAGAAAAATTATAGCACTCATTTTTGCGAAACCTAAAAGACAGATAAAGATATCAAGATGTAATTATTTTATCCCTCAAACCAGAAATTATAAATTTCTGAAAGGAATAACAAAATTAAAAGTTCTGACATTTTCCTTCTTAAAATCAATCATCAGACCAGAACCATTTTATTTTAGACCGGCACAGGGAAACTTCTAGAATACCGATCTGAAGTGAACTCTCTGCTGTTCCACTTGTGTCTTAATTTAGACTTTAAACCTTCAACAATGGGTAATTCCTAAATAAATCATATTTCTTAGTCAAATCTTAAATCTAATTTTATTTTAGTTTAAAAATATTCTGTAAAGAAAAATTAATAATTTCTACATGAAAAAATCATAAGAAAAAAACAGACTTTTTAAAAATTACATATCCATGATTCTTTATTTTATTGGTTTGCGCTAATTTTTTCTCTTAAAAAAATTGACTTATGATTTCAATTTAAACAAATAAAGTACGAGATTTTTAGAGTCTTTAAAACACGTGTTATGAATTTCTTCATCTCGAATAGACTACTAAATTTCATTTAGCCTGCAATTAAAATATAATGCACCAGTAGTTTTCTGCCTATAATTTACATGTTTTCCGACATAAATGTGTTGATTTCCGACATAAATGTGTTGATAGATTATATTTCAGGTTGGAAAATATCCTGGGTGTGTAAGGTAACATGTTATCTGATCTCTCCAGGGGTGTATATTTGTAATAAATACAGAGGCCTTTAGTAACTTAGATAAATTAAGTTGTACATTGTCCACAGATCTAAATGCACTCGTTAGTAAATAGGCAAATCATTTATTGCGATTAACCCAACCTATATACATATATATATATATAAATAACTCCATCAAATCAATATTGTGATTAGCTTAACTACGTTATATATAACGACGCATAACTTGTTATTGCGTCTGTTAAAACTTATGAGAATGAGAATGAGAATGAGAATGAGAATGAGAATGAGAATGAGAATGAGAATGAGAATGAGAATGAGAATGAGAATGAGAATGAGAATGAAATCTTTAATCTAGAACCTAACTATCCTCAGTTGGTATAGACTCCGCTTTGATTACGGTGATAGAGTAATTGTTCCTTGTTTTAACGAATGAGTTGAGGAGATCGCGCCCATTGGTTCGGCATTGATAGTTTACAAGCTAGTGTCCGTGTTGACATCGATAGCTGACGAGATCGTGCCCATGGTATTTCAAGAGTTTGTGTCAGGGTGTTGACATTGATAGCAAAGGGAAACTGAGTTGTACCTGGATAGATATGGTTTTGAGAACCCCTTATTTAGTAGGGCGTTTACTTAATATTTCTTGAAAAATAATTCCCCCCACTCCTTTCGAAAACAGATTTTTCTCTAGAAGTATTTTTTTTCATTGAATGCGGGAAAATAAATAAAATGTATCAAGAGGAGTGAATAAATTGCGTTATGATGTTTAATTTTTTATTTTACCTCCAGATTATTAAATTCTTAAAAATATACACCCCTGATTTTATCACATCGCTACAAAGCTTATTTCTTACAGTATACAGTATACATGTATTCTGCACAGTGTTAAGGATCCATTACGATTTGTCACGAATCTGGATTCCTTTGTTGCTAAAAGTTGATCGAGATCAATCTCATAATGTTAAAAATCAATTAATACTAAAAAAGTCTCCTTAGGTCGGAACTTTTATGTGAAGTATCGTTAATGTTAATATCTTGATCTCGATATCCAATGTGGGAAGCTTTAAATGAGCATAAATGCTTGATAACTTCACTTACGTTATCCCTGCAAGGTATCACTACCAGGGATATAGAAAAGATCAAATTAATCCGCAGGTCTGCCTAAAATGGAGATCAACACTTGATCCCAAGGTTCATCTTACAAAAGTCTCTCATACAAATTACGGCACATTTTTCTTCCTTATTTCAAATCTTCGAAATGTTTTAGCGTAATTTAAAATATAAAGTATAAAACTTAATTGACCGAGTTTATCAATATGTTTTCAGTTAACATTTAACATTTGTTTATTATTTGATTAAGCAATTTTTCAAAATTTAAAATAAATATTTGTCCTCTCCCTAAGCACTGTAGTTTTTTTTAAAGTTTTAATAATCTCTAAATGTGATATCATCAATTGTTTCAGTTCACTGAAACCGGAAAACGTTTAGCAATCAGCTGTAATCTTCCGGAAACTTTGATTACCAAGGGAACGGAAAAGGTAATTATCTGTTATCTAGCTGAAACTTTGATTACCAAGGGAACTTACAAGGTAATCATCTGTAATAAGTTAGAAATTTTGATAACGAAGGGAACTTACAAGGTAATCATCTGTAATTAACCTGAGATTTTAATTACAAAGAGAACTTGCAACTTATCTGTAATTTACCTAAAACTCTGATAACAAAAAGAACTTACAAGGTAACTTTTGTAATTGACCTGAAATTTTGATTACAAGGGGAACTTACAAGTTAATTATCTGTAATCAACCTGAAACCAAGGGTATTTACAAGGTAATCATCTTTAATTTACCTGAAACTTTGATTACAAAGGGAACTTAGGTCACTATTTGTAATCTACCTGAAACTTTGATTACAAAGGGAACTTAGGTTACCATTTGTAATCTACCTGAAGCTTTTATAAAAAGGAAATTAAAAGGTAATTATCTGAAATCTTCCTAAAACTTTGATTTCAAAGGAAACTTACTGAAAGATCATCTGTAATCTACCTGAAACTTTGATTACATAGGTAATCAGCTCAACAACATCTGACAAACTGCTTTTACTTTCCAAGAAACCATATAGATTCTTTTTCCTAAAAACAGCTGATGCGAAAGCTTAAGTCGTGACGCTGTTCAGACATATATTTTTTGAATATTTTTTTTAAAGGATTGGACACCTGAGTATGCCATGGAGACCTTAGGGAAGCTATCACACTTGTATACAGAAACACCAAGCAAATCTCAGGCATGAACCATATCTTAATTTTTAGATAAAAAGTAAGATTGGGGGAGGGCGTGTATTTTTTTGTATTTAACTTTTTCGATCCTTTGATGAAATTCATGATTGAGATTGAAAATATCATTTTCACGTTGGAAAAAAATGGTTAAATTAGATTTCTTAAAAATAAAAAAGTTCATAGGCCAAAAGATGAAAATCTTATTAAATATCTGAAATCTTGATGGATGATTGATTATGATGATAATTGAGTTTGGTTTATTTAGAACACAGCTGTTTCCTCATTATCAACTCCTTTAAGTGGACAGCACCCTAGACCTCCTAAACGTCGTCTTAACTAGGAACTTTAACCTAAGGAACGTCGATTTAACCGGAAGTTCAGACCAACCAAACTACAACTGAATAAGGAGTTTGGACTTCATGTCAACAAATACATATCTATTTTCTATTAAAGCATTTTCTATATTTGATATTTCAGTGCAACATATTACTACTTATATTTTTCAATATTTTTATTTTCAGAAAGTTTAAGCAAGATGCCAAGACAGGCCGGGGATAAACGGCCTCGTCTTGATGAAGATGGAGATCAAGAGGTATTGATATATACTACAGGGTTACCCAAAAGGATGAGACTGCCAAGACGACTTAAGAATATGCCGTCTTTTAAGGATAAATTCAGTCTTCTGTCCATTTCAATTTAATTTTAATTTTGCAAATAAAGAAACAAGTTTACAATTCTAGAAAACCAGTATTAAAAGTACACACAGTATAATTTCCGTACAGTCGTCTCGGAAGTCTCATCCTTTGTGGTTAACTCTGTTGTTTAGATTGAAAGTATCCTACTTACTTGCCTTTTAAGGGATAAATCTGAGCATGCATTGACCCCAAAAAGGCCTAAAACTTGGATACCTCCAAAATCATGCACCAAAAACATATTTTTCGAAGACATACGGAAATATCAAAGCGTCGCACGAAGTCAACCTTTTGGGTCTTTTTAAAGCACAGTTCCCATATAAAAACATTTTAACCAATATTTCAAATTTTCTTCTCTTTTTTATCAAGTCATTTTGCAGGTTGAAGGATTTGATCCTGCCGAATATTATCGTCAGCAGCAGCAGCAGATGCTTCTCCAGGCTAGCCAGCATGTCGAGCAGACAAGGGACGAGATTCAGAGGGTTCAGGAGCAGGTAATTTTAAGAACCGGTTATATATTTGATTTCGCGCATTTCAAGATGCCAAAAAATGGGCGAAATTAAATAGGAAACCGGTTTTTAAATTATTTCGCAGAGTATTGATTTTTTTGCTGGCTCCCTTAATATTTTTCGCGGTGAGAAAGGCTGTAATTCTGATGTCGAAAATCAAGTGGTTTTTAAATTCATTTCATTCCTGTACTTGTGCAAACAGAATCTGTTTTGATTCTAGATAAATGGACCACTGACCCAGTTTAAGTTCTACATATTTATTTTTTCTGAAAAAATAAAAAATGTCTGGAATATTTTCTGCTTTTTCATACGATTTGATGGTTGATGGTTTATTATGCTGCCGAAACCTTTTAGGCGGATGAGGTCGTTGATACAGGGCGGAGAGCTCGACGCTCCGCCGCGACTGCTGCTAATGTGGCGATGTCCTACCTAACCGAGACAGAGGAGCAGATTGATAGTGTTTACTTTGGTACAAGGAAGATGGCAGCACCCGTGGTAAGTGTGTATTTTTTTTAGAACCGGGAACTTCTGAAAAAAACATAATCTTCATAAACTTAAATCAAACTTTTTAGTTAATGATTTTTGCTCATGTGGTGTAAATATCCGAATACAATATTAGTCCAATGTCTTAACGTTGACCGCCAAGGAACGGGTTTAAAGTAGGTTTGGGGGTAAAATAAATGTATTCGATTGAGTTTAACTTATTCGGATTGAGTCCTCTAGATTTTTAAAGTTCTAATTTTAGATGAGAAAAAGAAATCCTCATTTTTATCGTTTTCTTCATCTGTTTTAGTTTTCAAATTTTTTAGCCTATTCGTGATGACACCTTCCAGGCACCACTAGCTCCTGCACCTAAAGCGAAACCGCGTGCAACTCCAGTTCCTCGTGCACCTCGAGGACCCAGGGGAGGCGGTGTATCCGGCAGGTTCGTAATCTTTTGATTTTAAGTGTTGTAATTTAATAAATCAGGGTTGTATATTTTCCAGATTTAACCCCCGCACCCCGGGTGGGGGGTTGATTTTTGATGATTTGGGATAAAACTGAAAAATTGAAAAATTAACATCGAAAGGCAACGTTTTTTATTCTTTTTGATACTTTTTCTGGGGTGTATAAAATTATTTTTTAAACCCACCCCCTCGAGATTAAATAAGGCTTGTTATCCTCCTGTAATTAATCTCCAGATTAATTAACCGATCGGGATTAAGGATATTCCATTCTAAAGTTTTCAGATCTGGTAAATTTTTAGGCTGGTGAAAAAAGGAAAAAAAGAAAAGAAAAAACTTTAACTTTTTTTTCAAGACAAATTTAGATTACATGTTAAGGGGACGAGGAGGAGCAAAGGCACGGCCTCGCCGAGACTGGGGAGGGGAGGATGATGAGGACGAGGAAGATTATCAACCTGTTGTCGCAGGACGAGGGAGAGGACGACCTCAAGCTGGAGGACGGAGACCGGCTATGCCGCAGGTAAATCCAATCAAATGGTTGATTTCCAGAGGTCTACAATCCGTTTGTGATTATCCTTTACATTTGGTTTAATTTTTAGTAAACATTAAATTGAATAAGAACATATGTATGCAAGTTTGTTGTTCTGTCCTTTTATTTTTAGTTTTTGGAAATTAACACTTTAAAAAGATCAGCTCTTTAAGCAAGATTTGAGTATTTGAACTAACCAGGACTGTTTTAACTACATCCTCTTGGCCACCGGTCAGAAAAAATTTAAGGGGTAGTTTGAGATCTCGGCGGCACTAGAGAAATAGTCAAACTCTCTTTAGTTAGTTAGGCAAGTCTTACTTCCAGACACGTTTGGTTCAATACTTGCATTAGCTACATCGTCTAACCGATTATTCATCACATCCTGCCTTGATCGGACTTCAACTATCTCCTTATGCAATTCTGATATAGCTTTAAGTATTCTAACATTTGAGTTGTATAAGGTTTCTGATTTCTCCAATAGCTGCCTTAACTGTATCTCCGGCTCCGACGGTTTTCTCATCTGGGTTTTAACTGGTCGGGCTGGGGCGATGACGAGGTCACTAGGCTCAACCTCCATTGACTTGGGTTCCCTTGGTCCATCAACTACCGGTCCACCCCGTTCCTTAACCACATTGAATACACCAACCACCTTCTCTTTAAGTTCATCAGAAAACATAGTTTCCATAACTACTCCTGTTTCTATAAGCTGAACCATTATGTCCCCCATCTTCTGGCTTGAATCTAAACTCGGCAATAAATCCCTGAACTCCCCGTATTGACTACAATACTTTTTCAAGTGTAGCACTCTATCATCCAGCCTAGCAGGTAATTGAACGCCCCCAAAAACCAGCTTATTTGAGTCCACCACTTGTCCCAAAAACTGAACATCGCCTTCAGACCCATGTAAGATATAAGAAGCCTTGAGCTCATCCCCATTCTTCGCCATGATAAAATAGAATTGTCTCAGCTCCATATCAAAAATTAAACTGACTCAATATGCGGAAGTAACTGTTTTCCCAGCTTACAATAGTTACATGTGATCATTTATGTACCAACTATCTCGGCATTGCAGTACAGTACAGACGACTCGATTAATTGATTGGATTCTATTTCCGGGACGACCTTAAAAAACAAACCCTTGCTTATACCTTAATTATTACACACGACTTATTTCTTTGTTTTGTGTGTTTAATGCCATCGAAATCATAGCAATTTGTTAGTTACCCCTACAAACATTTTAACCATTCATTTAAAATATTAACTCCCACATTTGAATACTAGAAACTAATTAAAAGGTTTAGCCATGAGCGCCATATATTCTAGTCATTACATTAAATAAAAGCTAAACATTTCTATCGTCATCATATCATAATTTAATTAACATATCCCTTGTTAAACACATATTAAAACCTATAATATATTTTAACAAACGATAGAAAGATAAACTCTTCAAATTATAATTCCAAGCACAAAACTATATACCCATTAAATCTTTTAGGCTATATAAGACCTAAGCTTGTACTGCCATTAAAATAAAACTATATATTTATAATCAAAATGCAACAATTTGATTTTTAAATTTTGAGTATGTAAATAATTTTTATCTCTAATCATTTATTAAAAAGCACAAAAATATCATAATGAAAATCAAAAGACTCAAAATTATATATTTGTCGTAAGCCTGTGTACTATACCTATATATTTATAATCAAAATGCAGCAATTCGATTTTTAAGGCACAAAAATATCATAAACATAAATCAAAAGATTAGAAAACATATATTTGTAGTAAGCTGGTGTACATTAAAATCATTACTTATATTCATTTAAACACAACCATAATTTTAATCTTAATCATAATTTTTCATTTATTTATTTGTCGTAAGCGTGTCTACATTAAAATCATTACTTATACCCATTTAAACATAACCATAATCTTAATCTTAATTATAAATACTGATTACTGTTTTGCTGAGTATTAAATTATCCCACCAGTATAAAAAAACTAAAGATTGAATCATTCTACATTCCAAGACAAAATACTTCCATGAATAATTATGCCACTTAGCTGATTTAATATCAAGCCTAATTATAAATCGAAACAAATGATAAGTCATCCCATAAACTCGAACTGTACAAACAAATCTCATGTGTAATTATGTCATACAGAGCATGAATTGTTTCCGCTAATGAAGCATGAACTGTTTCCACTAGTTTAAACGGATTAAAGATAAATTTAAATATTAACACTACGTCAAAATTAAATGGATCACAACTGACAGGCAATTAAATGCTTAGTTATGTAAGACCCTTCAATATTTAGTTACTTCAAATAAAGTATGACATGTTTAAGCTAACCAAATTTAAATGTAAATAATGTTAAAAGCTGATATATCAAAAAGCTAAAATACATAAGACAATCAACTAAATGTTTGGATAACCCTGATAAGGCCTATTTACAGAACTTCTACATATGAAACAAAAATGTTTAAGGCCATGCTTCACGGTCTGGTCAGTAACTTAACACATAGCTGTCATATTTTAGCATTACATGTCATGCAATAATGTGACTTCATAGCCGTAATTGCGAAACTTTGCTTAGCATCATAGCCATAACTTCACACTCTGAAATACAATATAATTAAAAAATAAGTAATGAACAAACAAACGTTTATATGCATTAAAAATCGAAAATATAAACAAAATTTTCTTTTTTTTTTTTTTTTTAAAAAAACCATGTTAATATCCCCTATCCAGTTGTTTTAAACAATTAACTAATAAACATTCACTTACATATAAAAAATAGTTATACGATAAAATTCCATAATTAAGGACAGCAGGTAAAAGATAACAAATTGTAACCCCTCACTAATTTAATCCTTCACCCAATTTAATCAATCTTTAATTTATATTCATAAGTAGGGTACCTTACCACGCACCCTACCCTACCTTTGTCCACAGTCCCCAGAGTCCCTCCACACAACCCTTATCCTCCTGGTTCTTTATTTCCGGTCCATGCTCGGACAGATTCTTGTCACATATACATACATATATATTATACTTGTTGATCAGGCGGAGGATGAGAATAGTTTGTACTTTATTGTGCGCACAGGAAGATCTTCCCTTCAACAAACAGACAGACAGACAATACATATATATTATACTTGTTGATCAGGCGGAGGATGAGAATAGTCTGTACTTTATTGTGCGCACAGGAAGATCTTCTCTTCAACAAACAGTTGACGATTGGATAGAAGAGTATAAGGTTAGTTTAAGTCAATTTTGACGATATGAAATTTTTTTTTTCGAATAAAACCAGGCAAATCTCTCATTTTATGATTCCTAAAAATTATAATTATTATTTCGGGCATTTTCTCTCTATCAAATTTACCGATTTTTGTTCGTGAATTTTGGAATATTCTAATTCTAATCTAGCTATCCATAAACTATCCCTGGAATCATGTGAGACCCCACACAAATTTGGAACGGACAGACAAACAGACAAGCAAAGTATCTTAGTATATATAAGAATTAGATTTACGTTGTTCATGACTTTATGCATGACAATTCTTCAGGTTGACCGGGACGGTGCTCTGCTGAAGCTGATGCAGTTCTTTGTCTCTGCCTCCGGGTGCAAGGGAAAGATTACGAGTGAGATGCAGGCAGATATGGATCACGGGGACATCATCAGGTCCGTCAGCAACCTTTTATCATGGGGGGGGAATATATATATATGAAGTTGTAATCTCTGTGTGTATGTCCGAACATATCTCATAAACCCCTTGACTGATCTGCCTCAAATGTTGATTGGAGAACTCGGGAGAACCACGGGAATGTTTTTACCTTTGTTTGATTCTAAAATGGGTGGGTCTACTTTTATATGGGAAAATAGTCAAAATCGTAATTTGCGACCAAGTGCGCAGGTAAACGGCGGGAGTAACTATGAGCAGTGAGTTCCCTGGGCAACGCTGGTTTCTCAAGCTAGTTTTGAATAAAATATATACTAGTTTATTACTCAGGTCAATACTGGAAGAAGTTCCGAGCAAACTTCTGTGAGTTTGTTGGTATGCTGGTGAAGCAGTGTCAATATAGTATTATTTATGATCAGTATCTCATGGATAATGTTATCTCTTTACTCACACAGCTTTCGGATTCTCAGGTAGAATATTTATAATCTGGCCTGGGGTGTCGGGGAGGTGGGGGGGCTTCGATGATTTTACCCTAAAATCCACATAGTTCCCCCTTAGACTATAGCCTCCCTCCATAATACATATGTTCATGTTTTTTAATATGAATTCTGTAAATGNGGAAATCTCAAGAATATTTTTCCTCTGTTTCTTATTTATAGCTTCTTGAATTGAATATTAATAATTTCTCGGATTAAAGCACCATTTAATATTCACACAATTAAGGTTCGTGCATTCCGTCACACGAGTACACTCGCTGCACTCAAGCTAATGACAGCACTAGTTGACGTAGCCCTGACGGTCAGCATAAACCTGGATCGTTCTGCTCGACAATATGACAGCGAAAGAGCTAAAAACAAGGACAAGAGGGCAGCAGACAGGTTAGTACAATGATGAGATTTTAGAGGCGACTGTACAGAATTTATTCTGTTTGTTTCTTTATATTCTCGATGTATATGCAACTGTTAAGTCTAAACATTTCTTTGAAAAATCATTTAATAAGCATCTTTATTAAATAGGAATTTAGACCTAATTTCAAGTGACCCTCAAGGTTTCAGAGTAGTACGATTCTCAACGGTAACCATAAGCTTTGCTTGATAACATTATCTAATGAGTTATCCGTCCTTCCTTTTAGAAATCTGATTATTTTCTATCTTGGTTTCCAAAGGTTTTGTTTAAAACGAGGGAACCGGCTGAGCTCATTTAAACTGGGGAACCGGCTGAGCTCATTTAAACTGGGGAACCGGCTAAGCTCATTAAACATTGGAACTGGCTGAGCTCATGAAACCTAGGAACCGACTGAGCTCATTAAACATTAGAACCGGCTGAGCTCATTAAACCTTGGAACCGGCTGTGCTCATTAAACATTGGAACCGGCTGCGCGCATTAAACCTGGGAACTGGCTGAGCGCATTAAACCTCGGAACCGACGGCGCGCATTAAACCTGGGAACTGGCTGAGCGCATTACCAACTATTTTAATTAATAAGTTTTGACCTGTATTTGTTAATCAGGAGGATGACTGAAGAATTCGAAGAGGAATCAGGAGAATACCCTCTAACTACATCAGGTTGGTTTGAAGATTTTTTTTCTTTCTCTTTGAACTATTATAATTCGTAAACAGAAATAAATTCAATATATGTAAATAACAAACATGGATTATATGTTCGTTATAGGAAATTAAAATTTAACCATTAATTAGCCTGGTTTTCTTGAAATCGAAATAAAAAATCTAAATGCGTGTATCATTCTATATATATATAGCTAATGAAAACCCTAAAAATGATGTTGTCACTACGCATAACTTCTCGGGAAGAAGCAGATTTTCAAAAGAGAAGGGGGTGGGGTTGATATTTCAAGAAAATCTACACCCCTAAAAAAGATGGATCCAGACTCGGAAACAGCTCATCAACATCTACTAGTTTTTTAAGATAAAAAAGTTTTGATTTTGTTTTCTTAAATTTATTTTTCCTGGTACTTGATAGACCATGGATAATGGATATTTCAGAGGGGGGAAGTCTTACCAATCTTTCTTTAGTCGACATTTGAGATATGTGTTTTGAGAACAGAAAGTCTTCAAAAATTAAGTTGCAACTCTGATCATATTTTGCTTTTTGGATTTGGATCAGTAGATCCACACCGATTTTTTTTCAGATCCAGATTTAGTGATCCAAAATGATACGATTACGTCTCTTTTAATCTTCCATGGCAATTTATTATAAAGTGGTAATTTTAAAGGTTAAATTTATTTGTTCCTGAAAAATTTCCCCCCCTCCCTCCGCCCGGCCCTGCAAGATTTACACAATTAGTTAAGAAGAATTGAAAAGTTAAAATATTAAATATATTTTCTCTAAATATCTCGTGTTTGATTAAAAATTATGAATAGTTTTATCTAAAACTGTTGATAAGAATTTCCCCTGAATTATGAATTTCTATTTCTATTCAGAGATATTGTGCCAGAGATACGAAGCATCTGTATGCAGGAGATAGGAACATGGATGAAAAAATTTCATCAGAATTTCCTTGGTAATAAGATATATTCAAACTAGTTTCTAGGGGATTTCAACAAATTAATTTCTACGATTTGGAGGAAAAATGAAAAAAAAAACTTTATTAAATTTCCCCCAAATCATTTATTTTCCTTAAATTTATGAAAATAATGTTTTTTAAAATGGTTGCGAAACGAAATTTGAAATGGATAAATTTGGACTCTAAGGCAGCTATCTGCACGGTGGTGCACTAGTGCCCTGAAGGTAGTCTAGGGGTTCCATTTCAGATCTTTACTTGATTTTATTCGATTTATACTCTTATAGTTTGATTTGAATCGACATTAAAGCTAATGAAACTGTTATGATATTTACAATGATGTGGTTTGGTGGTTTGCATTGTAGTAAAGTGTATTTTTATTTGTACTTGTGATGTATATTAGCCTATGTCAAAATATAGAAAAGAGTTGTCCTGTCCAAGGTGCCCAAGGACAGGGTTATTTAACGAAGGAAGAAAAAAATGAAGATTGCTTGATGTATTAGGTCCCTGCTCGGGCTTTGAAAAATCGTTGAAATCGCCAAGAAACAGCCGTTTTCCAACTCTAGGGCCCGAGCAGAAACCCGAAGAATCATCAAAAAAAATTCTTTTATAAACCCGTCCTGGGGCTCCTCATTTGGGACAAATTTTATCTGTAACAAAAATTGACCGATTTTAACATAAGCTACTGTATATCTGCTCACTTCCCTCAGTCCGGATCCGTTGGATTTATTTTTTATTTAATTTTTATTTTTCTGAATAGTTCATTATGTTTTAACAGTAAAAAAAGAAAGTGAAACAATTTTATGTGTTCAAAAATCTGTGAACTTTAAAGAAATGTTCATTGTTCATGGCCTGGAGCCGGATCCGCATTTATTAACACTGCATTAGAAATAAGTTTCGTACTGTCTTAATTCGAATTTGAATTAGATGACTCCTACCTGAAATATATTGGTTGGACCCTCCACGACAAGGTGGGGGATGTGAGGTTAAAATGTCTTCAATCCCTGGAACCTCTCTACTCGTCAGAGGAGCTCAAGGTACAACAGGACTGTCGATATCCTTGAACATCAATAGGCTACTATTATAACAACGACGACATTTAGTTAATTAGATGCTTTAATTTTGACCTATCGAATTTTTTTGAATAATTTTTATGGTGACTGATAAATCCTACAACTTAATGATTAGTTATATGAATGATAATTTCGTTATTGCAGGTAAATTTTGGTGTTAGTTCCGTTTCAGGGTGTTGGATACTGTAGGAGAGTATTTCACAGATATCTTTGGTTTTTAATCCTATACGCTCTTCGACAACACAAGTTTTTAATCCTATACGCTCTTCAACAACACAAGTTTTTAATCCTATACGCTCTTCAACAATATCAGTTTTTAATCCTATACGCTCTTCAACAACACAAGTTTTTAATCCTATACGCTCATCAACAACACAAGTTTTTTTTCTGCGAGATGCAACCTATACGTTTTGTAAAAAATAATCTGTTTAATTTTTGGAATTTAGAATAAGCTTGAGTTGTTCACGTCTAAGTTCAAGGACAGGATTGTGTCTATGACCCTGGACAAAGAGATTGAGGTGGCGGTGGAGGCCGTCAAGCTGGTCATCTCTATACTCAAGTATCATCCGGAGATACTCAGTGACAAGGTCTGGTTGGAACATTTTATGTTTTTGTTCTATTTCAGGGATATATATTTTTAACATTTGGGGAAGAACAATAAAAAAATTGTACATCAACTGGTCAGAAATTCATAAGTTTTTGATTCCTTTTACCTAAACATTTATTTCTTTTCACCAAATCCGCAGAAAACGTAAAATTTTGGAGCAAACATGCCTTACATACTTGGTAAAAGCGTGTAACCCTTCTTCAGAGGAAAACCCTATACGGTACTATAATTCTTTTAAAAGAACAGGGGAGGGGGGCTCGCTCCAGATGTACTTAGTACTCTGTTTAACAAGCCAAGATTTTGTTCAGTGACTCAAATTTGTCGATCAGTTTTTTAACAAACATGTTAAACAAGTTCTATTTAGGATTGTGAACACGTTTACGAACTAGTGTACTCGTCTCATAGAGCCGTTGCCCAGGAAAAGACAAGATACACCTTAACCTACCCCCCGCCCCCAGCGGGCCCTCCTTGTACTCTTTTTATATTTCCCGATTCTTTATGCGTAAGTTGTTGCCAAATAATAAAGAGATAAAATTTAGTCTTTTAAAAAAACGTTAAGCCAAATAGCATATAAATGCTTTAGACTTTTAATTCCCTTCCTTCGCTTACTTTCTAGCTAAATGGCACGTTGCAAGTCCCAATAAGTGAAAATTTACCCCCCCCCCTTCCCCTCTTTAAGCCCATTGCCCCCCCCCCCGCCTAAATAAAATCTTGGTTGACCTGAAGGCTGCCGGTGAGTTCCTGAACGAGAGACTCTTCCTGCATGACGAGGACAACGTGGTGGATATGAGGACGAAGAGAGGGAAGGCGAGGCTGCCCAACACCCCCTTGATCCGTGACCTCGTCCAGTTCTTCATAGAGTCCGAGCTTCATGAACATGGAGCTTATCTTGTGGATTCATTGATTGAGAGTAATGAAATGATGAAGGTAATCTTCTTTGGCTCAATTAATGACAAAGCATGTCAATCAAAAAAGTGATTTCATGAAAATTATAGAAATACTAGCTGTAGTGACCAGCGCGGCGTTGCCCGTGAAATAAAAAAATTTCGAATAAAGCCTATTTTACCCCCAGGGTACCCATGGGTTCCCTTAAAAGAATTCAGCCGACTTGTCCAGCCGTTTGGCCAGCTATAGCTAACATATAAAATATATATAAGCGCGATAAGCTTTATTATATAGATTTTTCATTTCGCATTAGAAAAAATCTTAAATTGAGATTTGTAGTATTAAATTTCCTTCTTAAAGGGACTTAAAGTGTAATTTCAGGTGACCCTATTAACAAAGATGCCAATGCCGATTTACAACAATACCCGTTAAAGCTTTGTCTGATCAAGTATGAATTGAATAAGATACCCATGACGACATCTTCCACATTTTGGATCAGATTAAGGTTTCATGAGTACCGTTGTAATTCGGGCATTGTCATGTTTGCATCAAGAGTCACTTGAAATTACGCTAGCAGTCCCTTTAAACTTGCTTTTTTGTTTATAATTGTCAAAAGAACATTAGCTTCTGAATGTTATAGGGTTACATATGTTTGGTTGAAATTTGTCAAATTGGTAGAAAAATTACAATTTAAAAACTTTTAACATCATATTTAATAAGCATCTTTAGAACAAAACAAAATATAACATTTAAACAAATGTCTGTGCACCTTGTAAGGTCGTTACTATAAAAAAAACCTAAAAATGATTTATCTACTAGGACTGGGAGTGTATGACAGATCTACTGATTGAGGATCCCGGACCAAAGGAGGAGGAGTTGGATGACAAGCAGGAGTCCAGTCTTATAGAGGTTAGTAGGTTATCTGCATTAGTAGAAAGTTTAACATATCAATTGGAGGGACAAACCATATCAATAAGAGGTCAGAAGAGGTCATTCTTATCAATGTGAGGTCATTCTTATCATTATGAGGTCATCCTTATCGATGAGGTAATCCTGATTATTAGGAGGTCATCTTTATCAATAGGAGGTCAACCATATCAATAGGAGGTCAACCGTATCAATAGGAGGTCAACCGTATCAATAGGAGTTCAGCCATATAAATAGGAGGTCATCCTTATCAATAGGAGGTCAACCATATCAATAGAAGGTTATCCTTATCAATATGAGGTCAACCATATCAATAGGAGGTCAACCATATCAATAGGAGGTCATCCTTATCAATAGGAGGTCAACCATATCTATAGGAGGTCAGCCATATCAGGGGGGGGGAGGAATTGCCTGTACAGTCTCTTTAACTACCGTATATTTTCTAGATAATGGTTTGCTGTATTAGACAAGCAGCTACTGGTGATCCACCGATAGGTCGGGGTCCAGCTCGTCGGGTTCCTAGTGTCAAGGAACAGAAACAGATACAGGTAACTACATATATACAGAGTGTTCATATCATATTAGATTATCTCGAAGCTTTAATGCCAAAATACGTTAATAATACTAAAAAACACCTAGTATTTTCTGCAAGAAAATTTTTTAATTTGCCTTGTACATTTTTTTTAATGACTCGTTCTTTTATTTTTCTGATTAGTCCCTTATCTCTTAATTTAGAGCTTTAAACGATCTAATATGATATGGGACACCCTGTAGTATATACAGATGTAGAAATAGATAAAATAGAAACAGATACAGGTAGATACAGATATAGTAAATAGAAACAGATTTAGTAGAAATAGATATAGTAGAAACAGATATAGTAGAAACAGATATAGTAGAAACAGATATAGTAGAAACAGATATAGTAGAAACAGATATAGTAGAAACATATATAGTAGAAACATATATAGTAGAAATAGATATAGTAGAAACAAATACAGGTAGATAGAGAAATAGTAGATACAGATATAGTAGAAACAGATACAGTAGAAACAGATACAGTAGAAACAGATAGAGTAGAAACAGATAGAGTAGAAACAGATAGAGTAGAAACAGATAGAGTAGAAACAGATAGAGTAGAAACAGATAGAGTAGAAACAAAGACAGTAGAAACAGATACAGTAGAAACAGATACAGTAGAAACAGATATAGTAGAAACAGATATAGTAGAAACAGATAGTAGAAACATATATAGTGGAAACAGATTTAGTAGAAACAGATATAGGGGAAACAGACACAGTAGAAACAGATACTTTAGAAAAAGATAGAGTAGAAACAGATATGGTTGAAACAGATGCAGTATAAATAGATACAGTAGAAACAGGTACATTAGAAACAGATATAGGAGAAACAGAAACAGTAGTAACAAATATTGTAGATACAGATAAAGGTAAAGACAGATAAAAGATAGAAACAGATATAGTAAATGCAGATAAAGGGAGAAACAGATAAATTAGAATATCCATTTAATAGTATTAAAATATTCGTATGCTAGGATGATAAAATAGCCTTGACCAGCCACTTCATCACGACCCTTCCCCGCCTCCTCCACAAGTACCTGGTGGACCACGACAAGATGGCCAACCTTCTCATAATCCCGCAGTACTTCGACCTGGAGATATACACCACCAGCAGGCAGGAGAAATCCCTCGAGTTAATGCTCAAGCTTATTCAGGAGACAGTAGAGAGACATTCAGAGACAGAGGTAGAATCATTTACCCCCAAGGTATCAAAAATCAATTCTGTAAAATATACACCCCAAAATAATTTCTTCACTTTTTATTTTATTATTTTCTAGATAATTTTTTCTCGCTCAATTGAGGGAAAATGATTAATTGTAAGGGAAGAAAGGGGGAAAACTTTGCCAAATTGATGCCAAATTTTTATTCATTCAGCTCTTCCACCCAACCACCCCCCATCCCTCTTAGATTTAATCTGTCTTGGAAGGGACGGGGTCTAAAGTCTCAGTTTCAACATACAGATCAGAATATAAAAACTTAGTGCTTTATTAAATTATGCTATTATTTTAATTTTAAACTCGTTAAAGCGGCGTTATTAAAATTTAGTTTTCATCTAAGTATCGCTGGTGAAAATATCTTCGTATTATAATTTAAATTTTAAAGATTGCATGATGCATAATACTCCCCGGGTTTTCCATAAATGTCCATAAATTTTATTATATCAGATGTCCTGAGAGTACATGACATCATTTTCCCTTTTTCATTAATTTCTCTGTTTAAGGTTCTGGACACTGCTGCGCGAACTCTAGAAAAACTATGTGACAAAAATCTACCAATCTACGGAAAGTAAGTGCTTTTATACAGATTTTGTATAGTTTACCGATCCCTCCCCCACCCCTTTAAAATATATCGGTTATATACTCCTTATTAATATAAAGTGCTTTGATTGAGAAAATATAATTAATTTAAAAATTCTAAAGTAATCCGATGTGTTCTATATTAAAATATGACTATTCTAGGATATTCAATTAAAAAGTTATCGACCCCCATCCCCCCCTTAACCTAAACCCCTCGCCCCCCCTCCCTTCTGTTCAAAAATATGCCGATGTACTGTACTTAAAGATTATGCTCTTTTATAAGAAAATATTCCATGATATCTAATTAAGTAATTAAAAACATAAGATAGCAAATATTTTGACATGTTAACCTGAATATATTTTGTAATTTATGTATTGTAATATTTCAAGTATCATTTATTTTTAACAATGTTTTACAATTTTTTTTATAATTTTTGTAAAATAAAATTGTACGGGGCATAATTAATAATTTCAAATGTTCATCTTTTTTCTCCTTTCTCCATCTGCGCGTCCCCAGTTTATCTTTTTCTTGCCTCCCTTTGCCCGTCCATTTACGGTGCTGCTTTTAAAAGAATATTTTTGAGTAGCTGTCTTTGCGCCATTATAAGACAGTGCAGGATCACCCTTTCATTGTATGGATGTAACCCTCTCCGTTTTTTTTGTTTTGCTTAATTGTTATTGCAGCCTCAGCGCTGAATATTCTGTCTACTTGCAGGGGAGGATTAAGGGGGGGGCAGGACCTTCGCACCCGGGGGGGCGTTGCCCTCCCTGAGATTTCGAGGCAAAAAATGTTCCCAATTTGGCGAACCCCTTTATCAAGATATTTGTGGGTTTTTTCAGATGAAAATTAAAATGCGCTTCGCATCTTAATGTTTTTGATTTTTTTTTTGGAATTTTTGTTCCTATTTTCAGAATAGCTTCTCATGCACTTAAGGTAAAGAAAACCTACTGCTAAACAGGAAAAATATTTATCTTAATAAACTATAATGTGTGATAAGTTAAAAATCTAGTTTTTTAGTCTTTTTTTCATTAATTTTGACTCGTTTTTTAGTCTTCTAAAAAGTTTCCCCTGCGGCGCGTGTTTTGGTCCCTAAATCAAAATTTTTGTTCTGAAATAAATCTTGCACCCCTCTTACTTAAATCCTGTATCCGCCCCTGTGCATTGGCAAGGTCACCACTTCTAGCCCTTCAAGTTAGTTTCTTTTGCCAGCGAAAGAGCAATAGCTTCCCTGCTAGGAACCGCACATTTTTACTTTCCTTTATAAGAAGGGTTGCTATTCAACGAAGGATAATCAAGTGACCTGTTCAGAGGTAATTTTGTTGTAAGATCCAACAGAGAAATGTCCTCGAGTCTCATTTCGCTGCTTGTGAGAAGGTTAGATGGTAGGTAGAAGAGAGTTGGAGATGAGGATAAGGGTTTGCAGGTGTGGCATATTAGGAATGTTTCGTTAAAATCCCTCCATTTGTTCACATGTTATACTGTTTCTCAGTCCAGCGGAATTTCTTACAAAGTATCTCTTTTAGTGTGCACCGCTGCATGCAGAATGCGAAGTTGTCCCCTATTAACAGCTCTGCGCAGGGAGCAGGGAAAGGGCTCCTATCGCTAATTGGAGTGGATATAAAACCGGATTAGACATAGTAGCTCCTTATTATTCCTATTTCTTGACTTAGTACCCCAGTTGTGGCTACTGGAGCTAATAAAGAGGCTAGCTAATTGAGCATGGGGTTCAGGTCCGCTTGGCCTTCCCTCCCTCCTACCCTGAGGCTCACATCTCATCTAGCACAACACTGTATTTACTAATTAACTGTTCAGGACTGATATAGCGAGGTCCCGGCTCCTTGATATGATCTGCAACCGTTACAAGGAGAGCTTGGACGAATATTCATCACTGCTAAGTGGTAAGGGGATATATTGCATTGTTTACGTTATTTTTTGATAAATTGATCAATTGATATACTACGTTAATTGTTCATATGAGAAAATAATAATAAAAGGGGGGTGGGGGGCACAACACTTATTACTCTCCGGAAAATTTAAGCAGTGTTTAAACATAACTTAAAATTGTCGTAGACCGATGATTCTTTGCATGTGAACTCAAATATATGTATTGCAACTGCAAAATTCAGTTTTATAAAAATCCTGACTGACTGACTGACTGACTGATGTTAAGGTGATGAATGTCCTGAAGAAGACGAAAGGTTTGCTCTTGTCTCAAGCTTGAAGAAGATCTCTATCTTCTACAACTGTCACGATATGTCCAGGCTCAATATTTGGAATAGTCTGCTTCAGGTAAATCCAGCGCATCCATATGTTTACCAGAATCATTTTTGCTAGTTTCTTTATATGCTAACGTAATGTTTCCTTTTTATTTTTGCTTTTTTGCGACGAACTTTTTGAGCTTCTCCTAACCGCAGTCTTGGCTAATTCAACAAGAAGATTAAACCTTGTGAAAATTCCCGCTCCGCGAGACATATTTAACATCTGAATAAACAAAATGATTTTCATAAAGAGGGGGGGGGGATTAATTAAAAAAAAATATCCATCCCTGGCAGATATTAAAGATGTATTCTTGAAAATTTGGCTCTCTGTAATTAATAATATTTGCTGTTAAATGTATTTTACGGAAATTTGGGAAAATATTTTGTCTTGCTCAGATATTAATAGATTTCTGTAATATTTCGTGATATTTTTTATATATATATATATACATATATATATATATATATATCTAATAAAAAAGTACATTTATCCTATTTTTACCGAAATCATTTCCTCTTATAGTTTTGATGTTATTTTAGAACACAAAAATAAAAAGTTTATTTTTAGGTAAAAGAATTATATTTTCACATTTATTCTATTTTTACCGAAATCATATAGTTCTGATGTTATTTTAGAAAAATTATAATTTCTTCAATCAAGTAAAAGTAATCATAATTAAAAATTCATTGATGTGTATTTTAATAAAAAGTTATCGCGGAGTGGAAACTTTTTGGCCATTTTTTTCTTTATAACTGAGGAAAATTTGATGAAATTTTGGTGAATTCTATGATGAAGGAGAATTAGGCGAAAGTTCAAGTGACTCTTTATGTAAAGACGGCTATGTCTGATTCACAACGGGACCATAAAAGTATTGTCTGATCAAGCATGCATTAGATATTCATGTTAATTTGGAGAAAAAAAATTTAAATTTTATACAAAAGTGACTTGCGCAGTTCTATCGCAGGAAAACATACGCGAGTTTTCAGAATTATACGACAATATTTTTCAAATTAATTATCAGATAAAGGTTTTAAGGATACCGTTGTAAATCGGGCATTGCCAGCTGTGCATGGAGGGTCACTTGAAATTAAGGTTACAGTCCCTTTAAGAAGTATCTGAAAGCATTAAATAAAACTTAATTGCTGGTTGAAGTTAAATACTCCCTCCCTCCCCTCCCCCCCCTACCCAAGTTCTGGCTGGTAGGATATTAGTAAAATATATTTTCTGTCCTGGTCATTACGTTCTTAGGACCCATTTAATTTTGATGCGGATCCGGATTCGAATCCGGATCCAGATCCAGGTCATGAACATTTATTTTAGATTTACTGATTTTTGAACAAAAGATGAATTTTTCTTACTTTTTTTCACTTATAATTATGCAAGAACTTGTTAACCCATTCAGAGATAAGGACATTTTTGATTATCTTTCTTTTTTCAACAGCTCACATTTGAGTTTTGAGATTTAAAGATTTTTTCCCGCAGTTTTTGGTTGATATTTTGCTCCTTGCCAACGGATCCGGATCCTAAGCACTGCCGGTAATAATAATTTGTTTTTGTTTCAGAATATTGTTGGTAGCTACGAGGCACAGCGTGAAGGTGGAATTCTACCCCTGCCAGCAGAAGGAGTTGAATATTGTATTGTTGGATGCTTCTTTGCTCTCTGCTGGGATAAGATGAATGTCATAGAAAACCAGGATAGGTAGACCATCTTTTTCACGGAAAAGCAGCGCAGAAAAAACATATTTTGGATTTCATGATTTATACAATTTATTAAGATTTCCAGGAAAAAAATTATTAATTTAAATCGTCAAATTTAATCATTTTCATGCATTGAAATATCGCAAAATTGATTGCTGTTTTCTCAGGATGGATGATTGATTGATGGACAAATTTGTAAAATGCGTTTGTCGTGGGTTTAAATTATTTATCACTACCCGTTGAAATCTTAATGTCAAGATATAGTCGATTTTCCAGGTTTAAAAGTGTTTAATCCTGAGAAATCATTAAAATATTTTTCTGCAATAGATATTTTTGTGAAGAACCCAGAATTGAAAATAATCAGTTTTTATTATTATAAACAATGATATGTAATTCATTCATGAATGGCCACTTTTCATTACGCTTACAGTCCCTTTAAGTTGATCTTGAATACGCTTACAGTCCCTTTAAGTTGATCTTGAATACGCTTACAGTCCCTTTAATTTAATCTTGAATACGCTTACAGTCCCTTTAAGTTGATCTTGAATACGCGTACAGTCCCTTTAAGTTGATCTTGAATCCAAGTTTATAATGTCCAGGGATAATACTGCGGCTGAGGTTGCAGCTCTCATGGAAAAGGTTGAAGACTTCGTGAGTATATGTAAGAAGCTCTTCAAGGACTCTAAGGTCAGTCAAATTTTAAATAAATATGTTTAAACTTACTAGTGACTACCCTATTCAGGCTGACGTCTGGTTTACCCTAAATAATCTGGGAGGGGGGGTGTCCTCTATTTCCTTTTTGTGATACAAATCCATAGAATTTGATAAATTTTTAGAAAACCCTTGGGTTCGAAGCTTCAATAATCCGCAACGATTATTTTGAAGATTTAAATCTATTAAGCAAAAAATGTGCAAAGCTAAAATTGAGCGAAATATGATGAAGCCCTTGGGGTTACTTTTATAATATCTGCAAAAAAAATTCAAATTTTAAGTTATTCAGCAAAAAAATATGAAAAAACAAAAAGTGAGTGAAATATGATAAATTATACATTTTTGAAAAGCCCTTACCACGGAAAATACAAATATGCAAAGTTTTCTAAAACTAAATTTGTATTAAAGGGAAACTGAAAATGTGAAAATTCTCTAAAAAGACATCTGTCCAAAATCTAAGCAAAAAATGTTTTGAATAACTGAGCAATATGCTTTCTCTTATGCTAGGTCTTCCAAAGAGCTGTAAAAAGTCGAAATCTAACGACAGGAAGCAGAGCTATCTATCTAATTGTGATCTCTTGATTATGTTTAGGAGATAGGATGGAAGGAGCAGAGTTATCTATCTATTTGTGATCTATTGATTCTGTTTAGGAGATAGGATGGAAGGAGCTCAGTTATCTATCTACTTGTGATCTATTGATTCTGTTTAGGAGATAGGATGGATGGAGCAGAGTTATCTATCTATCTGTGATCTATTGATTCTGTTTAGGAGATAGGATGGAAGGAGCTCAGTTATCTATCTACTTGTGATCTATTGATTCTGTTTAGGAGATAGGATGGAGCAGAGTTATCTATCTATCTGTGATCTATTGATTCTGTTTAGGAGATAGGATGGAAGGAGCTCAGTTATCTATCTACTTGTGATCTATTGATTATGTTTAGGAGATAGGATGGAAGGAGCTGAGTTATCTATCTACTTGTGATCTATTGATTATGTTTAGGAGATAGGATGGAAGGAGCAGAGTTATCTATCTATATGTGATCTCCTGATAATGTTTGCACACACTGAAGGAGGTGCTAAACTGGTCGGACTACAGTATACTGCAGACAATGAACTAGTGGAGTACCTCAACACGTTTGTACAGGTAATACAAGATATCCAGATATCCAGGGTAGAAAAAAGATATCCAAATATCCAGGGTAGAACAAGATATCCAAGTGTCCAGGGTAGAACAAGATATCTAGATATCCAGGGTAAATTAAGATATCCAGAGGCCGAATTTAAAGGAATTGAGCCGCGGCTCAATTATGGTTGGTTCCACTTAAAATTGTATTCAATGTTTCAAGATTTAAGCCGGCGCTCAATTTAAACTAGTTTTTGGTAGATTTAAGACGCGGCTTAAGTTCATTAAATTCGGACTCCGATATCAAGGATAGAAAATATCCAGATATTAAGATATTCAGGGTAAAATAAGATATCCAAATTTCCAGGGTAGAACATAATATCCAGATATGTAGGGTAGAACAAGATATCTAGATATCTAAATGTCTGGGATTCAACAGAATATCCATATATCCTGGGTAGAATCGGATATCAAGGGGTAAATCAAGATATGTATTCAAGATATGAAAATGAAGTTTTGGGTATTGAATATCAACAAATGAGGAAAACTTGCCATCTACCATTTGAAGTATTGAAGTTTAAAAACCCATTATTTCAGGATTTTGTGTTCATTGACGACACTGATGAAGATATTGACGACCATCAGAAAATTGAAGAACTGCACAAACGGAGGAATTTTCTAGCATCGTACTGTAAACTTATTGTTTACAATGTCATCCCAACCAAGGTATATCATCCCCACCCTCCAAAAAAGAATTATTTAAAGGCCAAATACAAGTAGAGGGAAGGTTAAAGGGATGGGAAAGGAAAGTAGAAATGATTGAGTCATTTTTATAAAAATTATGAATATTATGATGATATTTAAATAATGTTATTTTTTAGTTTTAAGCTACTTAAATTTTAAAAAGCAAGGTGATTGGAAAGCTTGATATTTCAGTTATTTCATTTAAACTCAAAGAAGTGGTTGTACCAAAAAAGTTAGAGACTTAGAAAGAAAAAAAACTTACTAAATCTTGAAATTTTGATTAAATTATTGACAACAGAACTTTCCATCGACACCTTGATGTGAAAATTCAACGAAAATTGTTACCTCAGCACCCAATACCCTGACTGTATTTCCTGTAGTGTCCAAAATCGTCAATGTTGGTCCAAAATTGGTACAGGTTTTTTGGGACACCCTGTATTATTATACATGATTTCATCTTTTACATCAAGCTGAAATGGATATCTGATTTTCTGCGGAAGGGGGCTTATTAGAATGGGAAAATTAAACGTTTTTTGAGGGGCACAAACAGATGTATAAAATGCATATTTTTAGTTTGGATCAGATATATTGAAACACTACGTGACCTTCTACAACGACTATGGGGATATTATCAAGGTAAATTCTTATTTTTTTCCCAACATTTCTTTTACCTGTCTTTAGAGCAAAAAAAAGCATGAATCGTGATATTTTAAAACATTTTTTGGTGGGGGGGGGGTAATTCGTGAGCGTGACTGATAAAATCTTCTTATTTACGTCATTTTTGCTATTTATATTATTTAACTTATTTTTCTGAGTTTTTGACAATTAGGTTAACATCAATTCTAAAAAAACAATTACTTCTATTAATTTCAGCTATTCGGAGTTTTGAAATTTTTTTGCTCTGTACTAGGAATTTTCAATTTGGATAGTTTTCTTTATTGTTCTGACATTGAAATGCATAATAAGGATGAAAATTACAATTATGATTATGATAATGCTAATAGTAAGGATTATGACAATGACCAAAAACAATTACATAGTGATAATTATAATGATTATTACAGTGTTGATTATAATGTTTATAATAGTCTTGTGTAACAAAGCGCAGGTTAGACTTCAAAAAATAGTTTTCAAATTATACACAAAACAGAAAGGTTTTTATCTATCAAGAAATCAAACCATTAATGAAACTAAGAGTTATGTAAATGGCAGAATTTTAATGACAAGGCTTAGATTTGGTGGTGTTGCTGTGATCTTGGCAAGATTCAATATATAAGATCTCAGAACATTCAGGCATGCAATAAAACACATCCTATGGTCTGTATGACAGAGCCTTAGATGATCCCTACATGTATGATTTGATATGAACCAAATTATTCTAAGCCAAAAATTTCAACTAAAGTGATATAAATTAGCAGAAATATTTATGCATTAATTTAGTATTTTCAAATTTTGATGAAAATCTTATTTGTTTTGTAGACAAACTTTAGAAATTCTTATAACCCATGAAACATGGGGTCATTTGAGGTTCCACAAAAAAATTGGGCCTGATCGGTTCAGCTGTTTTGACGTTAATTGGTTATAAACAAACAAATACACAAGCAAAGTATATATAGATGAGACTCTCTAGTTAATTCAGTAGAAGTTTTTATGCTGCCCGGCAAAGGAGATTACAAGAGTGATTAAATAGTCAGACAAAGATAACATTGAGTATCCAAGAATAAGACCTAGGAGTCCACCCAGTCCATTTATCAATTCCCAGCCGTCATAGACAAGGGTTTCTTCAGTTACCTATAAAGTATTGATGATCAATAAGAAGTGTGCAGTCAGTGCTTAATATTTTGGCTTCCTGGATCCAGAGATCCACAAATCTGGATCAAACTGGCAAAATATCAACTAAAAATGGTCAACCCCCAAATCTAAACTGTTGTAAATATCTCTGAATGGTTTATTAAGTTTCAGTATAAAAATAAGTGGAAAAAAAAAGAAAAATTTGCAAAACCTGGATCAGTATCTGCATCATAATGAAATGGATCCTAAACATTGTGTACAGCTAAGCCCTAATTATTTTTGTAAAAAATACCTTGACACGATCTGAATAAGATTCAAGGAAAAATTCCGAGGTCCAATTCACGTCCCAATTTATTTTCTCTCGCTTTATTGACTTGATACTAATGATTTCTTTAACACATGGTAAATAGCAACCTACAATTTAAAGGTCAAAATTTAACAAATTGTTTGAGGTTAAATGGTTGTAATAAACTATTTGTTATTTACCTGAACTCTTTGAAATGATTTTATATGTCCATTTATTTACTTTGTCCATCAATTCATATAGCCTTTTAATTTGGTCTGCACTACTACACAAAGGAACGTTAGCAGAAGCATCAGAAAACCAATCAAGTTTGCATCCTGTCTGTTCAAATATAAACTCAAATACACAATCTGTAAAGCTGTAGTCCTAAAGTAAATTGTTCTTTTTAATTATTTAAAATTATTTGTCATGTAACACTTTCCTTGTCTTCAATGCAGTTAAATACTTCGGATAGTCGGGTTTCTATTTCTCGCTCAAATTCTACCTAAGGAAATTGATATTATTTTAACCTTAATTTTGAACATTATAAGACTAGGTTCAAAGTTTTGTACGATATAGCTTAAATTTTACAACTAAATTCTTGACACTTTTGGTGACCCCATATTAGCAGAGTAAAGATTTTATAGCTTCTGCTTCCGAATACAAAGCTTCCATTAGTAAAACCTTTGAACCATCCCAATGTAATTTACTCAATATTTGCTTAATCCGCCAAAGAAAAAATTAATTTTTTCTTTGGTGGATTAACCATTGAAAAATTCTAAGCTATAGTAGTATATTGAGAAGCCTTGAGGAAAAATGTTTATAAGCTGAAGGGTTTTGTTTGGTGATATTGGATATTGGATGCTAAACAATCTGGAGAGGATTTCAATGATGTGTGTGAATTGGAAGATTCCAAAAAGAAATTCTGAGGTGAAACATTTTTCGTAACGTATTATAACTAAAATATTGACCTTTATATATTCTCCCACATTCAGCAGTATTTTGTCTGCTTGTCCAATTTCTCCTAATATGTCAGAGGCCCAAAAATGCTTAAAAATTTAATGTTAAAAAAATAAGTTTGTTTTTTATATTCCTACAACTTACCTTAGATGAATGTAAGTAGACATCATACCCATAGAATTCTAACACACTAAGGTTGAGTGCTTTGTCTCCCAGGAACCCATAGAAGTGTCCAGGAGTGTTGGGCAGAAAGGTTTCATTCGGAGAATATGTGTGGCAATGACCTGCTTCCCAAGGTTTAAAATGGAAAATCCTGCTGTCCCACAAGCTGTTAAATGCAGAGCTTGCAATATGTTCTGGTGCTTTCTGATTGGGTAATTCCCCGTTGCATGCTTCTTCACAATAAGCCCATTCACCTTTAATCAGTACATAGGATCTAGTTCTGTCACTGACATTAAGATTCAATATCAGAAAAAAAAATATGGTTAAGATTCCCCCACTGTACTGAATGACTGGTTGTTTTTTAATAATAATATAATAAAAAATAATATTAATAATAATAATAATGGGGTCTCATTGCTTAGAATCCATATCATTTTTATAGAGGTTCCGGATCCAGGTCATGAAGGTTTCTTTAAAATTTACCTATCATTATTTTTATTTATCATTTATTTAACAGTTCGGATTTGGTATTTTAATATTAAATAATTTATTTTTACAGTTTTTGGTTGATATTTTGCCCTTTGGATTGTATACATGGATCTGCATATTTTTGCAGAATCGGGTCCTAAGCACTGCTGTAAATAAATGATTGTCAGACTTTTCATTTGTTTTTGATATAGAAGATATTCGTAGGAATACATCATAAGCACTGCCTATAACCATTGATTTGTTTTCATAGACATGAACAGCACACCAAGGCTTGGTGTCTTCAGACAATGTGCAGTTGTTAACAGTTTGCATTTCTTGGGGATCAAATGATTCACAATTTCCGCTTATTTCTGGATTAGTTGGATCTACCAGGGCACAATCATAGAATTTAAAAGGAAAACTACAAGCTCCAGTAAAAGTTGGAGAATTCACGGTATCACAAGGAAACTTTCTTGATTCACTTCTGTGTTGAACGAATTGAAAAATCTGATCTCTTGTTTGTGTGTTTTCAAGTGCCCACACCTTCAGAGCCGCAGCAGATACATTATCCCATGTATCTATTTGATCCATGATGGTCAAACTTGGGTCCATGAATGTGTAAAGTTTGCAAAAAGTAATTGCAGGAAATTCCACTTTTTCAAAGTCAGTAACAGAACTGGGAATAAGTAAAAAAAAAATTCTGAATTGTGTATATGTATATAATGTATATAATTTTTCCATTTTAAAACTTACCTTAACATTAAAGTTTTTTTTGCTAAATATTTTTCAACCGATGTGCTTCCCATATATAAATAAAATACAACAAGAGCAAGTAGGATCCCAAATCGAACAAATTTAATAGCTTTCATTGTTTTTGCGTGAATATGAATTCTAGTGTTTCTATTTCAATGGTTCGGAAAGTATTGAAGAAAACATGTTGTTATGAGGAGTAAACACTAGTTTAATAAGTGAATATAATAAGCAATATGTCATAATTTATACTTCTAACTCGACAATTTCATATAAGCCTCGTCAAACTAACGTAAAGCGCACATGTTTTCAATAATAACGCCTCCTGTTAAATAGAGCTAATGTACTAGTATATATAAATTAGCTTTTCTCACAATTAATTTTGCGTAGTATATAAACTTGATGAGCTACGAGGTCACTAAGTCATATTAGTGATGTTACATAAATTTAACCTTTTGTCCAGTTTCCAGTGAAATGTTTCTTTTATACTTATTACACAATTAAGCGGTTGAATACAATTTTTATACAGAAATTTAAGAATGGTAATGGCCTGTTTTTTAATACATCGAGGGCTGCTTTCCATTGAGAATTATAAGTATATTATTTAATTATTATTATTAATAAATCAATTGAACAAGGGTTTAAAGGAACTGTAGACATAATTTGAATGATTAAAAGATGGTGCTTTCATAACGAATTAATAATCAGAACGTTTTTTTATCCTAAATGAAGTTAAAAAACGGCACTCTCTTTTAAAACACATTAAATTTTGCAATTCTTAGGCATTGTTGAATCACTGTACCATACATCCATAGGTCACTTTTATAAATTTACAGTGAAATTATAATTGAAATTAATCAATTTTTATTATCAAAAAAAAAGAATATACATTTCGTTCTCAATCAGACAAAGGTTTATAGGTCACTGTTAGCAATTTTACATGCAAATATTTAAATTATTTGAGTTCTTTAAATTCACAACATTTTAGATCTGGATTCTTCAAATATGCAGATCTAACATCCAAATTGCAAAAATATTAACAAAATAAATAATATATGTATAGAATTTTTCGGCGAGAAACAAAAATGGACATTTGTATAAACCTTTAAAAGGTTTCGGGATCATCAATCAAAAAGCGATTTACGAAACATGTTTTAACGCCAAGTTTGTACAAACAAAAAAGAAATATTCCATTTAAAAAAAAAAAAATTTATTGTTAAATTTTCTTTGTAAAAACTTGTTAAAAATTCCTAAGTTGTTAAGTTTATTTCACATGGAATTATAAGAATTACATTATTCATTGTTAACCATTTGTTAGATGAAGATCGAAAACATGGTTTTTCAATATTTTGACAGCTGGAAATTGTAACGTATTAAAAACATTTTTCTTTCAATAACATTAATTTGTTTACTATGCTAGGTGTCTGATACTTAATTGGAAAGATAAATGAAAACAAATGTAATAATAAATGTCTTTTTATAGATATAAAAAGAACTCAGATGGGCTTTATTTATAACTTATAATTTATAAATAACCTTCTTTTATAAAGATAATGTTTAAGAATACACTGAATATAAGTAAATAAAAAAAATAAAATAATCTCTCAGAGGAATTTTTGTAAATAAAAATTCTAAAATTCGACCTCCAGTTTAAACATTTTAAGTCTAGTTTTACTTTGCTCAAGCTTTAATTTAATCCGTTTTGCAGATACAGTAAAGAAGAGCAAACTTGGTTCGCAAAAAAATTACATTATTCTTTATTTGCTGTTGTCAAATTATGACTAATAAATGAAAATCTACATAATTGTTTTTGAATTTATCTACATAAATTCATAAAATTTGTTTTAAATAATATGTTTAACATGATATGTTGTAGGCCACCCTGGGTAAAGCCCGCGAGAACAACAAGGTAAACTGCGCCCTCACCATGGTTCAGTCCTTGGTGTTCAAGTTTACCGAGCTTCAGGAGGCTGGGGCAGGTGCGAGGGATATTGATAGGAACGGAGAAGATTTCCACTCAATAAAGGTAAACAAAGGTTTAACAGATTATATATATATTCCATATATCCACTGTCCACTTTTATAGGGAAAAATAGCTAAAATCTTAATTTACCACAAAGCGTGGGTAAAAGGCGGGATTAACTATGACTACCTTGGGCAACTGTGGGTTCCTAAGCTATTATTAAATAAAGGAACTGATGACTTGTCTCAAAATTTAATTTTATTTATAACTTTGCAATTTTTACAATTTTTAAAAAGCCTAAGTTTAAAATATTCAAGGTTCGCATCATCAGAGATCATAACTTTTGTGTGATATATCGTTCATTTTGTGCGTTTGATATCGATAAATAATTTGGGCACCACTAGATATCGAGGATATAAGATGATCCCGAGTTCTACAGATAAAGGATGGGTAAATTAGAAGTTTCGTTAGTTTCTTTCTTAGAAAGTTTTTCGAAGATTATGAAGAGTAAAATGAAAATAGTTTACTTTTTTGTAGAAATAAAACGTGAATCTCACATTGTTGGAATATTTAATGTGAATATAATATCACAATTTCTGAAAAACCATTTATTTGTGTTATTAACCTAATTTAGTTTAACTTACGCGTGGATTATTATCAATTTGAAAATGTACGGAAAAAATGGTTAAATGGCTCCACTCCGTTTTCATCCGAGCTGGAAGAAACAATTCACCCATCTCCATCGAGTGAAATTCAAATATGTTTTCAAATATTACTCCTTTTATTGTTGTTATGTTCTGAATTTCTAATATGTAATAGAATAAATTTGGTGCTTTGGAAATGGCTCAACATGGAAACGGCTCAACACGGAAATACCTTAAAAAAAGAGACTTATAAAACTAATTTTATGTCGTCTTTTCTCAACTTACAATTAAAATGATTATATTCCAACGATTTTCACAGCCATGACCTAGCCGCACCGCTCCGCCCCCTCCTTAGCGTGCGGCGCGACATAACCTCGCCTAAATTAATGCTATGAAAAGTTTGAAAATAATAACATTTTGTTTAATGAGAGAAGACTACGTTAAATTTGTTTTATGAGTCCTTTTTTTGAGCCATTTCCAGGTTGGTGCGTTTCCATATTTGTGCGTGAAGTCAGAACTAGAGGAGCTACGAGATCATAAAGTCTCATAAATTTTACCTTCCCCTTCAGCCTAGTTTGCAGTAAGGTAGCTAAACCTCATCTGATCCAATGTTTCTAAGTCTGACCAATGAGAGTTCTTTCATTAAATGGCGCACACTTTTAAATTTCCCGGCTTTTGAAACGTCACTCTGATTGGTTAAATTTGTATACACTTTTCTGGAAATAAACTATTCATCACAATATCCACAATTCAAAAAATAAATTCATCTCTGAACAGTGAACACATTTCATCCATCTTTTAAGAATGCTTTCAAAAAAGATGTTTTAGGAACTTGCAAAGAGGTTTGCACTTTCCTTTGGGTTGGATGCTGTAAAGAATAGAGAAGCAGTGACTACACTTCATAGGTAACTTATAATTCCATTCCACACCCTTGGAACAACACGATTATCTGCTTAAAGGGACTTTAAGCGTAATGTTAAGTGATACTCCATGCAAAGATTGCAATACCCGATATACATTGTACCCTGAATCTGATTAAAAATGTAGAAGATATCCTCGTTTTTCTTTTTTAATTCTGAAAGCTTCTCCAGTGCTTCTTGTGAGCCAAAAATGCTCATGGAAATCGGGCATTGCTATGGTGCAATCTTTGCATTGGGGGTCACATGAAATTACGCTTTAAAGGGATCGTTGACGACTCAAATAACTCTCAGTCACATGCTAGATTCACAACGGTACTCCTTAAATCTTTGTCTATGTCCTATCCTGAAAAATAAATAATTTGTCAAATTTCTTACTTGTCAAGTATGCTTTCATCTGCATGCCATTTTTATCCAGATTCTGGTTTGAAAGTTATCTCCATGTCTGATCAGACAGAGGACTAAAGGGTAGCGTTGTGAATATAAGCATAAGATCGTTGAATAGCGTCCATTTAAATAGAAACATATCGAATCCTTATATTTGATCTAGGAAGGGTATCCAGGTAGCTGTGACCCCCCAGGAGGATCCAGATGACCCTGCTGGGGCTCCTCCTAACCTTCCTTTCCTGGAGATACTCACAGAGTTTACCAACAAGCTTCTCAAACAGGATAAGAAGGTACGCAGGGCTCGCAAATAAGGCAGGCAGCCATGAGCCACAACATTTTCCCCTTCCATGCCATATTATCTTTTTTTGTCTTCCGGCAGCCATTAGCCACAACCCGACGGTCTGTCATGCAACAGCATTTGAGTCTTCCGGCATTTCTCAAGTTTTTAAATGATAAATTTAGTATTGCCATTTTTATAAATCATGCCGCATTACGTGAATTATCAATTTTAGAAGTTTGTTAAAGACCAATAAAGTGTGTTTTCAGATTATAAACCACTTTACATAATACAAAAAAAAATTTAAACCATTTCACGCATTCTGGGCACCGAGACAAATTGTTTGGGTTAGTCAAGAGAATAAGAAGAGATGAGAAAAATCCCAGTCTTAACTGTCATTACCTGAGCGTTACAGATTTCCTCAAAAAAATCTATTTTGCAATTTTCTTGTTAAATAGTGCAGGTTTTCAGTTATGGGCGCCCTTTGAACTTTAAGAATAATGAGTATGTTATGATTCATCATTTTTATTGTTCATAATGTTTTCACAAATAAGCCATTTTAGAGGAAAGATTGAGTTTTTTTTTTAGGGGAAATAAGTAAAGCAGTTTACATTAAAAGGAATCGCCATTTTCTCAATTAAAAACTTTAATATAAAGTTCTTTATAATTATATATATCTTTTGCATGACGTCGCTGGATTTTTATAAATCACAATTTCAATGCACTAAATTTATTATTTAAAAACGTAATAACTGCCGGAAGACTCAAATGCTTTTGCCAAGTAGACTTAGTTGAACCACTATTATAGCTGGAGAGAAGTGGTTCAACCTTGTCAACGCGGTTCAACTATGTCTGTTATTTGATTATGCAATTAAAAAAAAAATATCAATTTATTCAAATGGGTTTTATTTTTTTTTGATTATAAGTGAGTCCCCCACAAAGATTCATAGACGAAAGAAAAATCAATTTTTAATAAGGAAAATATTACTGTAATTAATATTTGTATAATTTCTATTCTCAGGTTCTTCTTGACTTCTTGGATAAACGAGTTGCTGGGGGAGTACCTAGTAGCCGCTCAGAGGTCTGGGCACCTCTACACATGTACAGGTCAGTGTATTCATGTACAGGTTAGTTTATACATATAGAGGTTAGTTTATACATGTACTGGTTAGTTTATACATGTACTGGTTAGTGTACATATGTACAGGTTAGTGTACACATGTACAGATTATTGTACATATGTACAGACAGGTTAGTGCACACATGTACAGTTTAGTGTACACATTTATAGGTTGTGTAACACATTTACAGGTTAATGTACACATTTACAGGTCAGTGTATACATGTACAAGTTAGCGTACACATGAACAGGTTAGTGTATACATGTAAATACAGGTTAGTGTAAACATGTACAGGGTAGTGTACACATGTACAGGTTCAGGAAAGCAGGTACAGGTTAGAAGAAACATGTACAGGTTACATGTACAGGTTAGTGTTTACATGTACAGGTTAGTTTATTTATGTAAAGGTTAGTGTACACATTTACAGGTTAGTGTAAACTTGTACAGGTTAGTGACAGTGTATACATGTACAGTTAGTATATACTGACCAGATTAGTAACAGTGAATACAAGTACAGTTCAGTGTATACATGTACAGGTTATTGTAAACTTGTACAGGTTAGTGTATACATGTGCAGGTTAGTGTATATACATGTACAGGTTAGTTTATACGTGTACAAATTAATGTACACATGGACATGTTAGTGTTTACATGTACATTTTAGTGTATACATGTACATGTTAGTGTATATATATGTACTGGTTAGTGTACTTAAGTACAGGTTAGTGTACATATACATATACAGGTTAGTGTATGCATGTACAGTTCAGTGTATACATGTACAGGTTATTGTAAACTTGTACAGGTTAGTTTATACGTGTACAAATTAATGTGCAGATGGACATGTTAGTGTATACATGTACATTTTAGTGTATACATGTACATTTTACTGTATACATGTACATGTTAGTGTATACATGTACATTTTACTGTATACATGTACATGTTAGTGTATACATGTACATGTTAGTGTATACATGTACATGTTAGTGTATATATATGTACTGGTTAGTGTACTTAAGTACAGGTTAGTGAACATATATATATATATATACAGGTTAGTGTATGCATGTACAATGTACAGGTTAGTTTATGCATGAATAGGTCAGTGTACACATGTACAAGTTAATGTTCACATGTACAGGTTTGTGTACATATACACTATACAGGGTACACTCAGTAAAGATTAGTGAAATGCAGTTTAGTGTTTTCCCTAAAAATATATTTTCTGAAAGGATAATCATTAATCACTGAATGGTGGTACTGGTCAGTGGTCACGTAGCCAATATTTGTTAAAATGAAAAAAAATCCATAAATCTATTAACAAAAAAAGATACTTGTACCGTAATTTCAACAGTATTACATGAAAATTAATGTTTAAAAACCAAAACTATAAAATATCATAATTCTACAGCGAAATTTGATTTTTTTAAATATTGTAAAGGAACTCCCTGGTGCACGGTGAAGGAGAAAGTTTGCCTGCTCCGCCAAAGAAGGCCTATCAGAGGAAAAGAAGGAGGTACAATTTTATATCAATCGGAACAACAGAATTTTTCGATTTTCGCCGAAAAATCAATTTAAACAAACATTTGAAATTTCTCTGTTAAAATTATGCGTCATTTTTTAAATCTAAGGAATCATCTTCCTAACTCTTTGTAAACGAACCTTTATCCTTCCTTAAATTTATTTAACAAGACTTTTTTAATAAATATTTTTTATTTCGTAAATCCGCCATTAAAAACAGGAAAATCTAACACTTTTTTCTTGCTATTGAAATTAAATGTAAATATCACCATTGTTTAAAGAGTGTTCGCGAAAAATGAAAGGTTTATAATGTATAGGCGTATATTAAATTAAATTCTTTATCGAGCGCTACTAATTTTACTTATGTCTGTTGCGTATATAAGGAGGAAAGGGTTTAAAACGATTCAAATCATAGAACGTAGGACCCATAGGAGCATTGCATCTACACAAATTCACGGAGTTTCATTATTCCACTCAGATCGTAAATAATTCAATTAAATTCAATTCGATGCATGGATTTATAATTCATGTTTCATAATATTTTTTATATACGATATACTGTGAACGACGATTATTTGGCCGCTAGGTGCCTCTGCTCTCGATGTTTCGGGGATTTCGCTTGAATTCAATTATACCCCCTTTCATTTTTTGAGAACACCCCCTTTAACTGATTGGGAAAAAGCAAATACTGTTCCAGTTTTCAAGAAAGGGTTTAGATTTGAGGTTGGGAACTACAGACCTATATCTCTGACATCTGTAATTTGTTAAGTGATGGAGTCATTATTAAAAGAACATATTGTTGACCACCTAGACAAAAATACACAGCATGGATGTATGAAGAAAAATTATGTTTAACAAACCTGCTAGAGTATCTTGAAACAGTACAAAATAACACAGATTTGGGTGATTCAGTCGATGTTGTTTACTTTGATTTTGCTAAAGCCTTTGACAAGGTGTCCCACAGAAAACTTGCACAAGTATACTAGAAGCTCATGGAATCAGAGAAAAAATATTGCAATTGATTATTTCCTGGCTATTAGATAGATCCCAAAAAGTTGTTTACAACAGTAGATCATCAGGCTGGAAACCAGTTTGGTCTGGTGTTCCACAAGGGAGTGTCCTGGGTCCACTCCGTTTTGTTATTTACATAAAGATCTAGTAATAGAGGATGTACTAACTTTCCTGTCAAAGTTTGCAGATGATTCCAAAGCTGGAAGAAAGGTTAACTCAGATCATGACAGAGAGGCATATACCGAGAGTTCATTGAACGCTTAAACTCAGTGAGCACATGATCGGAAAATGCAGTTTAATGAATCTAAATGTAAGGTAGTACATATTGTAAAGAATAATTCAAGATATGAATATCTCATTAATGAAGTCAGGAGTGGTACTGGAGGCTTCTGACAAAGAAAAAGATGTAGAAGTAATCAACCAGTAGGACCTGAAACCAACAAAACAGTGTGCTTCTGCTGCAGCGAAGGCTAACAGTATATTAGGCCAGATGGCCAGATTCTTTTCTTACAGAAACAAAACTGTATGGACATCTCTGTATAAATCTTGTGTACGGCCCCACCTTGAATACTGTATTCAAGCCTGGAACATTAACATTAAAAAATTAAACTAATTACCATGTTTTTTTAGGTCCGGCTCGGACGAGGATGATGATCCCGATGATGAAGATTTCCGTCTCTAATTCGGCCGCCGAGGATCAAATCGACCGCTGAAGATTTTTTTTGGCAGCGACCGTATAGAAGATGTATTCTGTAAAATATCATATTTAGTTTCTATTAAGTCCTGTAATTAAAGTAAGGTTGACATTTCTCTCATGAAGTATGTAAATTGTTGGTTTTGTAAATTAGAATCTATGAATAATTATTACTATTGAGTACAAATCTTGTTTCCACTAAAAATTGTGCGAAAGTTCGAAATTTATCTATTTCTTTTTTGATCTCGAAATGTTTTTGAATCATCACGTTGTAATTTACTAATTTAAATTTTCCGTATCAGATAAAATGGTGAAAAAGTTTAGTGTTGGTGCCCTTGTTTTTGCCAAGGTGAATAACATTATGAATTTATTAGGGAATAGGTATTGGGTAGTGAAAAGTGAAAGGGGGGGGGGTGACATGAATTCTCAATCAATTTTCCTTTTTACTAATTTTAAGTTCAGTTTTTGGTTGAAGAACTTTTTTTAAAATCTTGTAATTATCAATCTATCCGTCTAGTCGTGGAATGCAAACCCAATAGTTGCAAGAAATAAAGTTTTTGAATTCAAATGAGTAAAATCAAACTCAAGTTCGAGATTGACTCATCATAACTCTTTTACATTTTCAACCCTGTAATTTTGATTGTTAAGGTGAGAGGGTTTCCTCCATGGCCAGCAAGGATTACACGGATAACAGAGGTAACTTTTAGAAAAACAACCACGCTGGGCCGTAGACGTAATGTGCATTAAGTTATTTCGTTTTTAGTTCGTTTTTCAGAGTCAAAATTTGGCATATTGTAAAAGCATTTTTTTCAAGAGTGTTAATTCTAAACATCTTTTTTTTTGCATTATGTCAAAATTGGACCCTGATACGCAAAAATGAACTTGATTTTTTTAGCAAGTTTAATTAAAAAAAAATTAACTTAATGCAGTTTTGAACTCTTGAAAGTTTAATTACAGGTTTTTATTTAAAAAAATAAGAGTGAAACTGATAAACAACATTAGCCAGGAGGGGGAAGTGGACTTTCTGGATACATATTTAGTAGATTTTATATTGTTTAAACCCCATTTTATAATTAGCAACATTTTAATTCTGTAAAACCTACTAAGCATCCTAGGAATCATGAATAGGTATGTATTATTAGGCTTTTATTCGCTAAATGGGAAGGGGGGGGGGAAATAAAATTTCTGGGCGAATAAATGAAAAAACTTGCCTTTGTGATGTCCAATTTTTGGTTTTTTCCCCAGGTCTAAAAAATGAGTTTTCTTAAAAATAACCAACCCTGTGTTGACATTAAAAAAACTGATGTATTTTAGAACGGTAAGTATGCAGTGTTCTTGTATTTTAGAACGGTAAGTATGCAGTGTTCTTCTACGGAACCTACGAGAATGCTACTCTTAAGGCAAACGAGATATTCGAGTTCTCAAAGGAAATGCTTTAACATTATTATTCTATCTGTACAATGTAGTAATATCGGTTTGTTTGTCTGTCTGTTTGTTTGTCCGATCATAATTTATGAAACCTTTGATTAATTTGTTTAACTTATGTTTGGGGAACCCGGTAGAACCACACTGGAATGATCTAAGCTTGGTTTAAAAATTCTGGATGGCTTGGCTTTTCTAGAATAGATTACTTCCCAGGCAAAACCGGGCTCCCTTCTAGTTCTGTATACATAGAATCTCTTTTCCTCTCCATCAATCAAATTTAACATTTAAATGTTCAAAGTACAAGTATTTAAAGAAAGATGATGCTTCCAGTCTTACATTTGAAAAAAAAATCTGTGCTGGAAACTCTTATGTTGGATAGTGGATACCCTTATTCCGGTATTTACTATAGACATTTTTAATTTTCTGCTTAATTCTCACTTTTGGATATCCCTGCTGGGTTCTGGCCGATGAGAGTTCTCTCAATGGTTTCACGCAAAAATTCTCGACTTCATCTTGGCTGTTCGGTTTCTACAAACGACACTGATTGGTTGAATTTTAGACACTTTCCGGGATATTAGATTGAATTGATTTGCAGATTAATACAGGGGTGTATGAAATCCCCCTGTAAATATTAGAAAAAGATGTCTGTTCTCGAATTTGGGAAAGGAAATCATAAAATTTGAGGTGGGGGAAAGAATAAAAAAATTGGAATTAAATACACCCCTGGATTAATAAAAAGAGGAGATCAAGCATTGATCTCGATATTCAAAAAACAAGAGTTTCCAGTTCTGTAAACAATTTATTTGATCAGATTAGAGATTTATCAGTAGAATTTAATTAAAGATTAATGATAAAAACATGCTTTAAATCTACTTCTCTAGAAAAAATATATTAAGTGGATAAACATTTTTTTTATTTATTTATTCCAATATTCACAATGTTGTTAATGCGTGTTAACAGGAGAACCAAGCGTCTTTTATACCAAAAAATATTCACAGGAAAGAATAATTAAAGATTTATTTTTAAAAAATAGAAAAGTGTTTTGATAAACGCTTATTATTAATTTATTGCTCTTTATACAATTAGATAATGAAACAACACTGGACTTAAATCATAGTTTTCTAATCCTTATATCTGGCAACCTGAGCTTTAAATATCAAAGGTTTACACCATTAGATTAAATCGATATATGGATTGGAAATATATAGTTGGATGCAAGTGTTTACTGTTTGGCTGCTTAATGCCTAGTGCTAACCCACAAATACATATATCTTATAAACTGTTAAAAATCTACCAACGAAATCAGAAAAATCCGCTACATTTTTATATCTTTATTTTTCCACAATCCTACAATGTACGAAAAAGAACGGGTTGCAGATTGATTTTGAAACAAGGGCTATGATAATACTAGAAAATATACAATATTGTTCTGTTGCCAGGAAGAACTATGGAAAAGGTATTGATGAATTGAAGTACACCCCTGAAATTGCCCCTGGTGTGGACCAGGTTACTGATGATGCAGACCCCCCGCTTCAATCCCTTGACACCCCTGTGGATGAGAAGAAGAGTGCCCCCCAACCTGTAGTTCGAAAGCCCCTGAAACTTTGTGATGGTACCCCTGTGAAGAGGGGGTCTGCTACCCCTGTTACCCCTGGAGCGGATTCTGCCAGGATAAGAGGAACTAAACGATCAGCTGAGGAATCTGAAACCGAAGGTAATTTTTTTTTAATTCGAAGAATGTTTGATTCACAATGGTATCATTTAAAACTTTATCTGTGCAACAATTAGAAAGAAATTGTCGTTATTTTAGGAAGTTTGAACTCCGCCCCACAAACATCTAGTAGAAGTGGAAGGGTCATTAAACAGAAACGGTTCAGGTATAGGCGTAGAATCAGGGAATAGAAATAAAGGGATTGGAAATGGCACTGATCTGGCATGAGAACAGACTGGTTCTTTATTATAGCGCGTAATTTTACTCTCATGGGACTGTAAAGCACAAACGCCCTGATTCTTATGTACTCTATATACCTAAAGTACAAAGTGGTTCCTAACCGAAGCCTTAACAGACGCTCACTCTTGAATGCTGCAAGCCCGTTATTAAATTTTTTATCAGTTTTGAGGGTTAACCCCCATTTAAGACGGTTCCGAGTGGAATGTTTTTACCCTTTAATTCCTTTTTTTTTAAATCTTCTCAGAATAGCTTGTTAAGTGTGAAGTAGTAACGTTATGATAAACAATTTGTATTTCATAAGGCTTTTTAAATCTATTGTCTAAAAAGATATTGACGTAAAATTTAACTGTTTTTTGTATAACAGGAAACTATTTTGTTATTTTTTTTGGAGGGGTTATTGTAAAATTGCAGCTTTTTTTCTCGTGCTTTTGAGATTATCTGATTATTGAAATTACTATTTCTACTTGATGCAGTGATGAGACACGAGGAGATGGTGATGTAAAACATCAAACTGATCAGACTAAACCTAGGTGAAAATACTATATATATGTAATACTAGCGTCAGGCATTGCCCGTGAGAATAAAAATGAATTTTGAAAAATAAAAATTTAGATTTTTTTGAAGAAAAAAATCTAATTATTTTAGCCTATGTTACTCGCAGGGTACCCATGGGTTTCAGCTATTGCTAAAATATCTATAAGTTGAAACAAGACAGTCGTATATATGTTCCTAACAGCCGACCGAACGTCTGGACCGAATGGGCTAAGAAATTTTGAGATAACCCAAGGGTATCACGGAGGAAACAAAGGCTGAAAAAAATCTAAATTTTTTTTTCCACGGGTAACGCCGGGCACTTTATAAGTATGTATATATAAGCGAAGAGCTTTATTATATAGATATAGTAATTGGGCGAAACTCTGAAGGCCTAAAAAAAATAAACATATGTAAAGCATTTTTCTAGAAAATATACACACTTGCGGCCTGCAGTTTAGAAATAAAATATATATATTATATAAATATAACATAAGTATATTGTTCAGAACGGATCTACAGATAGATGATCCTCGGAAGATCTGGGTAAAGAAAAGAAGTACAGGAGATATGATAGAAAAAAAATTAACTTAATGCAGTTTTGAACTCTTGAAAGATGGGAGTCCCATGAATATAATAATCTAAATGGGAGTTCCATGAATATACTAATCTAGATGGGAGTCTCATAAATATACTTATCTGGATGGGAGTCCCATAAATATACTAATCTAGATGGGAGTCCCATAAATATACTTATCTAGATGGGAGTCCCATAAATATTCTTATCTAGATGGGAGTCCCATGAGTATACTAATCTAGATGGGAGTCCCATAAATATACTCATCTAGATGGGAGTCCCATAAATATGCTTATCTAGATGGGAGTCCCATGAGCAGAAGTTGACCTGGCTGCTGTCTACTGCTAGGAATGCCAGGAAGCTCAAGGAGTTCGTGGAGCTCGGAGAGTTTATCCCGGCTGAGGTATGCTAGTTGTGCTAGTTTTGTCCTGAGGTCGAAATTAATGAATTTGAACCGTGTCGCTGAACTGTGAATTGCGCGCTAGGTCAAATCTCGAAATACTGATTAAAACTTTAGGTTGAACCAACCATGTTTGAACCGTGTATATAGACGAGGTTCAAATTTTTTTAATTCGTCTCTGAAACAATTATTTAAAGAAGTATTAAAAAATGGCATTGAAGTGTTTCCTAAATTCCGGTATTGTTGATTGATTGATTGTTGATATAAATTATTTGGTATTTACCTTTTTTCTTCATTCTTTCCAATCTTTTCCCTTTGTCTTTAGTTTTATCCTGTTTTTCTTTTTTCTTCTATCTAGTCTCCATTCTGTGCCTCCTTTTTCTTCCGTCTATTCTCTGTTCTTTTTTGTTTTATCTATTCTATGTCTGTCCTTATTTTCTAATCTGTAGACCCGTCTCTGCTATATTATTATTCTCTTTTTGTATTCTATTTTTTAACTGTTCGACCAGTGCTTTGTGTCATGTTAATTTAAAGAAATGATTTTATAATTTAGCTCGTGGATAGTTTGAAGTCAAAATCAGAACTAACTACAGAAGAAACGCAGCAGTTAAAAAGGGTAAATATTAAAAATACTTAACCTTCGACGTTCAAGTTTGTTCAGAGGAATATATTTACTTAAAAATAATTTTTTCCCACTTTGTTTTTTTGCTGAGTCAGGGAACAGTTGACCTTTAAACGTATCGAATGGGAAAGCTTGCCAGTAAAATCTAGTTTTTCATTTTTCTCTCCAAATCCAAATATTTTCTACAAAATATACACAAGTTGGCAGTTCCCGTATAAACATATATTTTTAAGAAATACGTCGTAGGTTTAATGATTTAATCCAATCCATTTTAATTTTTTGGATCCCGACTAGTGAAAATATTAAATAACTAGGATTTCAGGCCTCTTTTCAAGTATCTATCATAGCTTTAATCTTTGATTTTCATTTCGCCATTTTTCCGCACCATTTTTTCGCGGAAATATCACAATTTGTTTAAAAAATTTCTTGAATTTAAAACTAAATATGTGGCCAATGACGTCAATAACACAATACACAAATTATGGTATTATGGTAAACTTCTGCATCGGTATATTTGGTATTTTAAAATGAGAAGTGACAATCTAGGTGGCTGAACTAGCACTGAGACGGGAGAAGGTATCCTGGTTACTACGTGAGAAGGAGATGGTGGAGACGAATATAGCAATCAGGAAAGCTCTACATTCTAAGGTAAAGATTTCCATGCTGCTTAAAATCATTTTAAAAATTAAATTTCCCTGAACTTCTAATTTTTAACTTCTTTTATTTTATTTAGTTTTTTTACAGTTGCTTTCAAAGATATAATTTTGGTTTATGTTCAGGTTTTTTTAATTCTTGATTCTGTATTCTGTTTTCCTTATTCTTTAGTCACTTTTCTATGTTATGTATTCTGTATCCTGTCTTCTGTATTATCTATCTCTTATTCCGTATTCTGTAATCTGTATCTCGTATTCTTTCTGTACTCTTTATTCTTCATCTTGTATTATTACATATACTGTACTTTGTGTTCGTATGCTGAATCCTGTAATCTGCAATCTATTCTGTATCCCATGTATTCAGTTCATCCAGTGTATCAAGAGTTTACTCTGTTTTCTGTATTCTGTATTCTGTATCCCAGTATATCCAGTGTATCAAGAGTTTACTCTGTATTCTGTGTCCTGTTTTCTGTATTCTATATTCTGTACTCTGTTTTCTGTATTCTGTATTCTGTATTCTGTATTCTGTATTCTGTATTCTGTATTCTGTATTCTGTATTTTGTATCCTGTATTTTAGAATCCTGATACTGATGAATGTGTGCGATGTTTACAGAATTTTCTCCATCTTGATTTAGACAAACTTATGATCATTAAACAGCCAGCTGTAGTTGATACTATGAGGTAATTCGGGTTCAAGAATACAGTGGCTCTCCAATTATAGGATGACATGTTAGATTCACAACAGAAACCTTTAAAGCTTTGCCTGGCCCAGAATGAATGAGATATCCATGATTTAAACCGTGCGGGGTTTTGCTATGAAAGTGACTCGCAAATTTCTTGACACGGACACAAAGAAAAAAATTTTACTTTTTAAGCTAGAAAATTGAAGATATCTTCCACACTAATGATCAGATAAAGGATTAAGCAGGTGCTGTTGTGAATTGGGCATGGTCCTCTTCAAACCAGCGAAAGTTCATTTAAAGAGAAAATGAAATTTTGACCAAAAATATTTCTAATTCCTACATCTAGAGCACCCTGATGGTGTAATCTTTAAAATCTGTTGATCTTTTAATTAAAGTTTGGAATTTCAAAAGTTTCCACTATCAGATTGTACAGATATCGGCATTAAGACTCTGTTCAGTTCCTTTATTTAAATATTTGTTCTCAATTTCTTTTTCTTTTGAAAAACAACGCTGTTTAGTGTTTACTCCCTTCTATGGTTTCCACAAAACAACATATTTTATTAATATATTTCCTTAAATATAATTAAGTTTTAACCTCTCACTGCACAACAAAAAGTTGGTAAAATGAGAAAAAAATATTTCGTATTCACGGGCTCAAGCCATAAATAATTTTTTTTTTCAATTCTGTATACTAGTGCATTATTTTAATTGTTTTATTGAGAAAGTTGGAAAGATACCAGGGTTCCAATTGTAAATTGTCAATTTCACACATTTTCGTTCTTGTCTATGACCGTGATAAAAATAACTTCTTAGCGGATTTTCTTGCACAATCAAGTGGAAATAAACAAAGAGTACTAATCGTAAGACCTCACTTCATTATTGATTTAGTATAGTCACGTCAATTATGGTTCGTGGGTGTAGGACGTCCCTAAAAGCATGATTTGATTTAATTTGTATATTTGTATAATTGTATCTAGGAAGCTGATAAGATAACAGGGTTCCAAGGAAGTATTGTATAATTGTATAATTGTATAATTGTATCTAGGAAGCTGGTAAGATACCAGGGTTCCAAGGAAGTATTGTATATTTGTATAATTGTATCTAGGAAACTGGTAAGATACCAGGGTTCCAAGGAAGTATTGTATAACTGTATAATTGTATCTAGGGCTGGTAAGATACCATGTTCCAAGGAAGTATTGTATAATTGTATCTAGGAAGCTGGTAAGATACCAGGGTTCCGAGGAAGTATTGTAGAACTGTAAAATTGTATCTAGGAAGCTGATAAGATACCAGGGTTCCAAGGAAGTATTGTATAACTGTATAATTGTATTTAGGAAGCTGGTAAGATACCAGGGTTCCAAGGAAGAAATGAGTTTACCAGATAAAGAGAAGGAGAGAATGAAGCGGAATATTAAGAATATTCAGATAATGGGAGAGACAATTTACAAGAAACTACAGGTAAAGGTGTATTTCCATTTCTCACTGGAATCTACTTTTTCAACTTTTAATTTTGGCTCTATCTGTTTTCTCTTTTTACAATAGAAAGCACTAACAAAAAAGGTAGCGGATTAAAAAAATTTTTTTTTGAATTTCAAAAATTTGGTAACAAACTTTTGTAATTCTGAGCATACATAAACCTTCCCTGGGGTCATATTAGTTCCACAAAAAATTTGGGCTCGATCAATCCAGCCGTTTGGACGGTTATCGGTCACAAACAAACAGACAAGCGAAGTAAACATATAGATAGTCGTATCTGTGCATTCCTAATACGCCTGTTAAATATAAACAAACCCTTTTCTCTAACCTGCCATATAATAGTTAATCAAAAACAAAATTTAAAAAATGAGTTTTAACTTGATGCGTACTTCCAATTAAATTAAATATTCCTCTTGTTTATTGTTTTCCCCGAAAGTCATGGAACTTTTTCAGTTAACATTTTATAGATGCTGAAATATTGATGGATTAATTGCTAGTGTGCTAAGCTAATTCTTTTTCATGGGCTGGCTTGATCCATTTGCTTCTTATAGTAATATATAAACATTAGGATCCTCATTCTTCGTCTAATATCAAGGATTTTTTGTGTCAATCAAAATGTAAAATAAAATTATTTCCCATATGTTGTATATTTGTTAAACGGATCAACAAAATAAGAAAAGAATAAAATTGCTCTTAATTGTCTATTTTTTCTGACAATCAGCAACTTAAAGTTATAAGCTTATTTAAGATAAAAAATTCTATGTAAAAATAAATAAATTAAATCTAGTTTTAGTACAGTATGATTTTTAGAAAATGTTATAAAAAAGACACAACAATGAAATCTTCAGCAATCAGCGAAAATTCATTTTTAGATCAGAACATTTTTCTATCTACAAAGATTTTGACACTTTATTTAAAATAGAACCTGGTGAAGGGTTAAAGCCTACGTACACTCTTGTGCACATGTTTAATAATTAAAAAAATGTAAGTCTGCAGATGCAGAAAAAGTAAGATAAAAAACAAGAATGAAAAGAGATTCTATCCGAAGTTGCCAGTTTCTTGCTAGACTCAATTATTTCGTCTTTTTTAAAGTGGCTCTTTTTCTTCCAATAAATTCAAATAAAGCATGCGAGGTCAGGTCGAAAATTGCCTAGAGTCCAAAACTTTAGAAGGAGGCCATTGCTAGCTGTGTGCAAAATCTGAAGAATCCATGATATTGATTCCATGATTTCCATTAATATCTTAATGAACAAAAAAGTTATGACCAATGAAATAAATTTCATTTTGCACTTAAAGACTTCCTAAAGATGTATACTGTATTACAGTGAGAACCAGAAAACTGTGGAATAAAAAGACAAAAAATTGCTGTGTTTCATGTTCATTTAGATGTTTAAATCTTAACTGAAGTTTAAGGGTCCTCTTCGTGTTCCACAGTTTTCTGGTTCTCACAGTATAATATATATATTTACTTGTTCAGATGCTGTTTAAATATAAAGAATCTCCGAGTAATCAGTTCCAGGCATTTATACAGCAGGAGGTTAACAGGTAAAATAAGGTCCCAAAGTCATTTTCTCAAAGGCGACTTCTCAAGTGACAATGGATCAAGTGGCAACTTCCCAAATGTGCAATTTTCCAAGCGGCAACTCAACTGTTATATAACGAGCGATTATTCAAAGCTTCATAATCTCTGAACGGAACATTAAGCTGTTAAACAGCATTGATACATATAAAATAGAGGTCATGAGAAGCTGTCAGTTAAAACAGCTTCTCTTTGATTGCTTTGTCAACTTGTAATTCGAAGAAAAGTGTGTTAACAATATAAAATGAATATAAAAGTCGTCTTCATTGTAACGATATGATTGATTATTACTGTAGGTTGTAATATCTGAATGATTTGTTTAAAATTAAATTGATTTGTTTACGATCCGAGTCGAATATTGTAACTTTCTGAAATTGTAAGGACGCTACGTTCTTCGGCAACAATTTTCTCCTTATAGGCACGAATCACCATCGAATAGTTTTCGATGTAATCTTATACCCCCTTTCATTTTTTTCGAACATTAATATTAATATATTAAACTGTTTAACAAAGAAATTGAGTCTTTGCCACAAACTATGATTTTATAGTCCCTATATCTTTGCAACAAAATATCGTAGTCGTAAACCTTCAATATTTCATACTATGAATTATGTCATGCATAAGTAAGTTAGAAATATCACAGGTTTACACCGTCAGGTTGCAAAGATAAAGGGATTAGAAAATTTCAGTTTGTTGCAAAGACTCGGTTATTATTAAAATTCCCTTTCTGCCATATTTTGGCCCTGTAAGAAAATATACCCACAAAAAAACTTTAAATATTTTATCTAAGGATAAAAAGATTAATACAAGCAAACGTTAACAGACAGAATTCATTTTTTAAATATTGAAAGTTTTATTAAAAGTTTTTAAAGACAGATTAAGAAACATTATTATATCTGTGAATTAAATATATTCTCATAAATATTTCTCTTATTCAGGTTTGCAGAGGCTACCAAGAGTCTACCTCAATCTCAAGCTTTAGCTCTTACAGAATACCCCTAGTACTTTGTTAAGTCCAAAATTACTTCTAAATAATATTTCTTCAGCACTGCAACATTTTTTATTGTCTATTCCATACTTATAATTTTCCAAGCTTTGTTTTGAAAATTTATTCCTCTGGTTTTTGACAAGGTTTGGGTTTTTGACCTCTACTGAGATATTAATCCTCCCGATATGTACAGTTAAACATTGTACACACAATAAACATCTGTAAACTAATATAACGATTTGAAATATAGATTTTCTTTAAACAAAAATGTTCCTTCTGTAACAGTAGAAATGTAGACACAAAACAAATTTAGGTTGGAAGTTTCACGTTTCGTAAAATAAAAATAACTGACTTTTTAATGTTCTCGTAGGCCTAGGATTATCTTGTTGGCATTTTATTATTGAATTTTTAAATCCTATTCTCTTAATATTTTTAATTTTTAAAAGTTTTGTTCACGTCAAAATAAAAACCAAAATTATTACTTAATTTATTTTTCAAAATGCAAGTATAAGTTTACAACAAAGAGCAGCTGTTAAATGATTTTCTTTTCATGTTTATGTGTATTCATGATGTTTGAAAACTTGGTAGAAATCAAAATCGAAAGTCGTCTTTATAGTATTGATATTTACGACGATGACTAACATCTGAGTGTAGGTGAGTTGTCCTCCGACCCCCCTCCCCCCTACATATCTTCACAATCTCGTGTATCTATCTACCTGTCTATTTTAACCTAACCTGACTTTTTATATTATGATCACACGGAGTTGTTAAAAAATATAGACCTGGATCGGCTTCTAACGCACGATATTAAAATAACAATTTGTATTACCTTGATAAACACCGAGATGAGCAAATGTGAACGGTTCTTTTTTCGCCGGAAAAGAAGATAATTTCTCTGGAGAATATGCGATTTTTTAGTTAAGAAGAAATGACTTGCGTTTTTCAGAGCTCCCGACTCGAGCCGTAATTCCTTAAACCCGACGTTAAGACCCAACTCTGACGACGCATGTGTCACGTGATTGACAAAGCAAAAATTTATTGAAAATCTTAAACCCAGTGGTTGAAAGAATAAAGTTGCTGAAAAAAAATTTTAAACCAGCGGTTGAAAGCTAAAAGGTACTTCAAAATGCTCCATACTACAAGCCAATCTTGTCTAAGTTTGAAGTGGGGGAGTGGGTCTGGGTTTTTGAGTTATGCCTGGAAGCTGCAATAAGTTGAGATCATATTGGGCTGGACCATACAAGATAGTTAGAAAAATCATATATGGTCCAGCTGAAGTAACAGCAGTGAGATGAGATTTTAAAAGCTTAAACCCGGTCTTTGCGTCTGCTTAAACCCAAGTAAAGCTAAAGTCAAGACCCGGGTTTTGGATGGCCTAGTGTTTAGTAAGAACCAACCACTGGTCAGCATAGACGTGCTAAAGCATTCAGAAGAGATAGTAGTGTGTAAGGGTTTCCTATTGATCTGCCACATCCTGCAATCCTAGAAACAAATGAGATAATTGCACAACAGGACAATCTAATTGTGTTGGAGAGGAATGGAAATAGGGTTTCCTCGAAATGGCTAAATCTTTTGCGCTATTTTCGCGCAAATTTTTTTAGCGAACTTTTGCGCATGAAACGCAATGAGTTTTGCGCGGTTTCGCGCTATTTTTTGCGCAAAACTGGAAAAATATTTTGCAAAAGTTGCATGAAACGAAATTTTAGTTTTGCGCAAAACCGCAAGTTTTACGCAAAATGTAACATTTTTGGCAAATTGTCAAAAATTGATATTCTAAGCTTAGAATTAAACAACTAAAGATTTATTCCATACATAAAAAAAATATTAACATACGAGTATGATAACGATTATACTACACTCAATTGGTTACTTCCAGTTACAAAAAGTTTAAATTAAGGGACCAAAATTAATAAAATAAAAATTAGAGAGTGTGAAACTTGGCAATATTTTAATCCTATTAAATAATTTCAAGTAACCCTTAAAAGCTTTGCCTAATCAAGTATGAATTATATTCTTAAATTTTTTTAATCAAACTTCTGAAATCTTTTTAATCTCATATAAAATAATGCAAGAAAGTAACCAATGCCTGAAGAATCCACTTTTAGGAAATATGCATGTCATTGGTCAATTATGTAAAAGTGGCCAATAGGAAGACATTCCAAAACAAGATTTTTCCAGAATTGAATTCTAAGAAACACACATCGTCACCAACCGTTTGATTTTTACGAAATTGCGGAATTGCGCAAAACTGTAGTTGCGGAATTGCGCAAAACTTGAGTTTTGCAAAAGCGGAATAGGGCAATTTTGCGCGAAATGACTTTTGCGAATGATTGCGCAAATTGTATCACATTGATAGCTGACATGGATTCACCGACAAAGGGTCAAACAACCCAGGGTCGAACGACAAAGGGTCAAACGACACTGGACCTGTCTGAAAGCAGTTTTACGAGTACATCATTTACTACAACAGTTTAATATTTTCATTTTTCCCATCATATTCCTATTTTAAGGCATTGTTCGACACACACCTCTGATGTTTCTTTAATGTTTTATAAATTGGTACTGATTACAATCATATCCTTAAATATCCTTAAATTCTAGACACACACTTTAATATTTTCATTTTTCCAATCATGTCTAGGGCTGGAGACGTTCCCACTTTTTTCAGCCTGTTCGTTAACATTCCAACCATTTTAAAAAACATTCAGTTAGCTGTAAGAACATTTTTTTTAAATTACTGTTAGTTTACGGCATACAGCATTGATAAAAATCCAAAAACCGTTAACAGCTCAGGCCGTTAAAAGTATAACATTATAAATGGCAAAAAACGCCAAAAAAATCGTTAACTGTTTAAGAAATCGTTAATGGCGCAGCCATTAATGGTTAATTACAGTATTAACAGTTTAAATTGTCAATGGGTTGAAGCTCATGTGACAGTGTACACTGTACAGTGTATGTTTTATTTATATTAAAATCTGTAACATATCATGTTATTTTAAACAGATTCGAATAAATATACGAGAGATTAAGTCAATAATTGAATTAATAATTAAAATTCAAAACATTTAAAATTAGTGGGACATTTTCGTAGATAGACAAAATAATGTCAATCAAAGTAATCTTTTTCGCCAAATCAACGTCTAAATTTAATGGAATTATATATCACGAAAGGAGTTAAATAACATACCTTATTGCGTGAGCGATTTAAATTCTTTTCTCAGCATTTAACATCAAGACACATTAAATTATTTTTTATAAGTTTAATGCAATTTTAAGTAGAAAAAAATGAAATAACGAAATTCACCGTTTTTTAAAAATAAATTAACGTTTCTAACAGTTAATTTTTTGTTTCGAAAACTGTGAATCCGTTTCGTTAAGGATTTAAAAATTAACGACTTTTGTTGTTCGTTAACGGACTCTTCTGTTAATTTTCGAAAACCTCCGTTCCGTTAACGGAACTTTGCCCAGCCCTAAATTCATATCCCTATTTAAGGCAATGTTCGACACACACCTCTGATGTTTCCTTTCTTTAGTGGTTTATAAATTGGTACCTGGTAAAATTATTGTATTTGTAGATCTTGATAAGACATCTAATAATTAACAAGTAATTATAAATAAACAGACAAACAGACAAAAAACATTCAGAAAGATAAGCAAAGTATATATTTAGATAATGTTTGATTGGTTTGATGTTTTTATTCAACATTTTGTAGCTTTGTTGATTTGTTTTTAGGGAACCCATTTTCGATTGTAAGGCGCCTACAGTCTTAATTTTTAATTTCATAATCTCAAAAAATATTTGTCAGTTTGTATTCGATAAACGTCAAAACGGCTGAACCGATTAGGCCCTAATTTTGTGTGGAACCTCATGACCCAGGGAAGGTTTATGGATGCACAGAATGTTTAAAAGTTATCCCAAAACATTTATGATTTTTGTAAAATTTTGAAAATCCACAAAAAATAATCATCAAATCTGCAATAGTTTTTTTTATATTGCTTTTTTAGATGCTTACATATAGAGCCACAATTAAAAGTTGAAATAGAAGATGAGCGCGAAGCGCCTTAAAAGCATAGTTTGCTTTTCTATATATATTCGAAATATCTCCTTAATGGGACTGTAAGCGTACTTTTATGAGACAATGCCCGATTTACAACTGCAGTCCGTCCACCCTTTTCTAAGTTCATCGAGTACAGTGATCTGTGTGTATACTAATTCATGTTAATCTATCGAAAACCGCATGAATTCCTGTCAAACCCAGTGTACGCAGGCGACAGTGTGAGCTTAACACAGCTGATAGATTTTTCATGTATTTTCTGCCACGTCTAGAATTTAAATAATTTATTTAAATATAACTTTTTTAGAATATTTTAGTAACATATTCATTTACTCAAATCAAATCATATCTATTCTGAACAGAGAGTTTTATGACGTATACCATTCTTTTAGTTATAATGGAAATTTTTTCTTTCTCGCGTTTCTCTTTGGCTCGTAAGGGAAGAGAGCGAAATATGATATAAAACAGACAAAATATTTATCTATCTGAGGGTTTTCAGGTTGGTAAGGAGCAATCTATATATAATACTTTACTTGTTTGTTTGTATCCAATAAATGTCAAAACGGCTGAACCGATCAGACCCAAACTTTTTTGTGGGACCTCGCGTGACCACAGGGAATGTTTCCGATGATCGAATTTTCAAAAATTTGCCTTTAACAAATATTGATTTTTGAAAATTTAAAAGTCTACGAAATTTTTTCGTAATATCCGCGAAACTTTGCTTGTTTTTGTTTTGCAATGTATACAAAGAGAACATGTTCACAATTGAAAAAGAAGATGGGCGCGATAAGCCTAGTACATATAATTGCAAGATATACACATTTTTAGTTGAGAATTTAACAGTGCGGCTTAAAAAGGCGGTGGGGGGGGGATTTATGGGGGGACATTTCCTTCTGGAAAAAATTATGACCCGTCTTAAATAAAACTTCTTTTCCTTTTTTTAAATTTTTTACAATATA